TCTTGAATCATCTACAGTTCTACAAATGCAAACATCAAATTCATTCCCAAATTTATACATGTGAAATGTAGCCTTAAAGCTTCCGTTCACGTTTCAAAATTTTGCATAAATTCAAATTGCACTTCTCGTCACATTATAAGGGACACACGCAAACGTTTATCTAAAATTGAATTTGAATTATATTACCTCCATTTAAAATTGCTAATTCCACTGAAAATGTTTTCCTCATTTGAACATACATCCTGGTCTAGAACCGATACGTTTGTCAACGGCATAAAATGTGCTCATTTCTAAATTCCAAAAACTCACACACCAGTCGGATAGTCCCCAATTATCTAGCTGATCTTCCCACTCTAAACGTTAACTCCATCGTTAATATCTCCAATAGGAATCTTTCGGAGGATCAGTTAAAAAGTATTAAAATATAATTTCAACTTTTCAAAGGACATCTAAACCTTCAGTTCCTCAAATTATAGCCTCCTATTGAGAAAGCCTTTAAATTCTCCAAAATTTTCGGAAACCCAGAAGGATACAATCCGCCACTTAACGTTAATCCGCCACTCATAACGTTAATTTTAACAACAAATCTTTGGGTTCGAATCTTAGCAAAAAGGAAATGAGATCTTACGTGAAATTCATTCTGATACTAATATCATTATCTTAAAGCTGATAAGGGCGGACAGATCGTTGTTATGGACAAACACACATATATTACTGGAGTCTCTAAATTGATAAATGAAGGCCCAACTTCTCGATCCCTAAAGATCCTTCAACTTCGGACCTCATGAAAGTAAAAAGTGCTATTAAATCTTCCCACATTCTGCCAACTCAGTTGAAGAAATCACTTATTCCGCCTATTACTAATTGCGCTAGACTTTATGCTCTTCCAAAAGTCCACAAAACCGGTATTCCTTTTCGACCAATTGTTTCCAACATAGGTACTGCTTCATATCCTTTGGCCAAATATTTAGTTTCCAGATTTTCTCCTCTACTTGATAAACAATATTCACACGTAAAAAATTCTGTTGAAGTCATTGAAAACTTAAAAATATTTCCCCACTTCGTTCCATTGGTTTCATTTGATGTCAAATCATTGTTTCTAATGTTCCGGTCGAAGGAGCACTAAATTTTCTTGAAACTGGCTTCGGGAATTTCACTTCAGACATACTGAAATAATGAGTTGGTTTCGCTTACTAAAGTTTCTCTAAGTCAAACCCACTTTGTTTTTCAAAATGCATATTTCGTCAAGTTGAAGGATTGGCTATGGGTAATCCTCTCAGTCCGGTACTTGCTGACATTTATATGCACTATTTTGAGATGAAATTATTTGATAAATTATCTTTTCGTCTTTGGATTCGGTATGTTGACGACACTTTCGCACTTTTTGACGTTATAAAGAGGATTTATCCGAGATTCTATCTATTATGAATTCAATTGATCCAGCCATCCAATTCACTCTTGAATTGAATCCAACAATTCCCTCCCCTTCCTCGATATTCTTATAATCCGCAATGAACCGATTTAGCACCCTGTGTACCGTAAACCCTTTGCAGTTTGTTTACCACCCCTGCCAAGTCATGCCTGTTAAGCAAAAATGGCTTCTTTTACTATTATGTTTTCCGCGCGCTAAAAAGTTTGTTCCTCTGAATCTTGCTTACCAATGAACTAATTATTTGAGAGCAGTTGCGATTGACCGTGGATTTTCTCCCGTGATTATTGATAAAGCCGTCAAAAATTTTCAGATTCCATCAAAGAAGACATTCCACTGTTAGAAATAATATCAATGACCTTGTCGTGCTTCCATTTTATCTTCTGTTAGCTATAAAATTGCACGGATTCTCCAGAAATTCAATTTTCAAGTCGGTTTCCCCTATTAATAAAATTCACCTTCGATTCTAAATATGCGTTTCTGTCTTGAATTCTTGGGGAATTTATAGTATATTATGTCAGTGTGGTTTAAGATATATGGCCAAACAAAAGAGCGTTGAAGTTTCGTAGCAAGGAACATGAATCTTATGTCAAAAAGGGGAAATTAAAGTCTTCAATAGCGTATCATAGCTGGACTTTTAACCATAATTTTGATTTGGGTCTGCAAAATCATCAAAAGGCTTCTTCCATAGGCGAATTGGATTTTCTTGGGCTTTTCACATTCACAAAGATTTAGAAAGTTTAGTTAATGATTTGAAGTCCAACCAGTCCTTCCTAATGCCTTTAAAATTCTACTGTCTTAATTTCAATTATTTTTGCCGATAGATGGCGTTTACCTCCTCGCACTTGGTACTACCAGAGGGTATAAAATCCGTTCAGTGGTTGCTTTCCATTATTGAAGTTCAGATTTTGAGCTAATGTGCATTTGCCCCTCGCTCCCTATTTAACTTCGTAATATTTCTTATGCTTGATCAGACAGCCTGGCTCAGTAAAAGTAGGCGGCCAGTGCAACTCTGATTAAAAATCTAGTTATAACCACGTGCAGTGCTGATAAAGACCACGTGTTTCCAAAATGCATATTTTCTTCTTTCTATGTATTTCTTCTCTGAGGAGGGACTTTAGTTGCCCTCGAAATCGATTGAGTGTTTCATTATACCTACGCTAAATATAAGGTTGTTTTTTACGATTTTGATTATTCATTTATATTTACGGAATGGGCATGAACCAATATCCCCAGCCGTACATATTTAAAGCATACCCAGCGAATAAAATCTGAATTCTGCACTTTGATTCGATGTGTTCTGGAATCCTAAGCCATAAGTGTTATCACTTGATGCGATCAAATGTGTAGCCATATTTCTTTTTAATTTTGTATTTGAAAGAGAGTACAGTAATTAATTATCAAAGATTTTGGAAATGAAGTCAGTATTTAAAATTCATGCCTCCAGAATTTTTACTTCCTTGTACCTAGTAAAAGAAGTTCTGTAATCGCGAAAATCTTCGGGTATCATATTTTAACAAAAATGTCCATTTTAACCTTTATGGAATGCAATTTAACGAGTTTTTGCATGATATATGCACTTAGGGACTGTATAAAGGATTCTTTTTTTCCCAAAATGAATCGCAAAATGGATTTAAAATGGATTCAAAAGAGAATTTTTCTTGACGTCTGTACGTACGTATGTATGTATGTATCTCGCATATCTCAAAAAGAGTAGCCTCAGAACGTTGAAATTTTGTATCTAGGACTGCTATAACATGTAGTTGTGGACCTCCCTTTTTGGTTCATCGGTCGCCAACAATATATTGTAGATAAAAATATAAAAGCAAAGTCTAAATTATTCGCTAAACTTTATATTTCATTTTAATGAAAATTTTTTATCTGTCGTAAAAATAGCGTGAAGTTAAAGAGCTCATTAAATTATTATGCGATCTACGACTCTTATGCAGATGCCTCTTGACCAATCACCAAATTGTAAACCAAAACTAAACACTGACACTTTTGACTCCCTCCCTTCTTTCTATGAACTGATACGTCACTTTTGCTTGTGCTTCCCTCTTGGCCAGACACTTTTCTGCAATTGTGTATGTGCTGCTGTATTCGCTTTTATGCAATAGTATCAAAATTGAAAATGTTCTTTAAATAGGCACGAGTAAAGCGCCGAGTGATTATAGCCACAAGTGAATTTAAATAAATAAAAGGAATTTAATCCGGCTCTACCGCTTATTCTTTAAAATGGATGGACGTTCAAAGCATCAGCTTCCAAAATTTGGGCTATCATTACATATGTTGTATATATATACCTATTCTGTTACTCGGTTCAGTGAGTTCAGTGCTTTTATTGATTTTTGTTGGTAAATTGTGCATTTTTTGCTTTAACAATGACTGAATTATGTTGTCCTTATATTCCGGTTAAAGTTTTTATGCCTTTAACTAGCCTGTATGCAGTAGTTGTAGTAGTAATAATTTAAATGTAGTTTAAATGCGACTAAGCTCTAACTTTGCAGCCATATTTGTTTACATTAGCAGAATGCTGAAGTAACTCAATTTCTACACTTTTAGTGTCTTTTTGTCCAGTGGGACTAAATGTAAACTCTCATTTTTGTGCACTAAAAAATCTGTCTTTTTTTCCCCCTAGCCGATTGCTTGTTTTTGAGTAGAAACTCTAATTTTAGTTGTAAAAATTGTGTTTCTAATTATTTTAACTGTAATTGGGGTTTTATGTTTTTCTACATTTTTCAGTTTTTCGGAAAGTATTTTGAGGTTGTAGAGTCATTAGGTTAATTGGAAGCAGAAAAGATGAAAAATATGCAACGGCCTTCGCCGGGAATCGAACCACGGACCTCGGGAATACCGGAGCAGCGTGCTACCGTTACACCACGAAGGCACGCTAGGGAAGTGGGAGATATACCTTATATACTCCCCTTCTTAAAAACCGACTAGGGTTTTTAGGGGACCTAGGTCGACAATCCAGGTGCCGAGAATCATTATCCACAACCCTTTTAGTTCGGGCGCCACTTGTAGAGTCACTAGGTTAATTGGAAGGAGAAAAGATGAGAAACATGCAACCACCTTCGCCGAGAATCGAAACATGGACCTCTGGAATACCGGCCTAGAGTGCTACCGTTACACCACGAAGGCACGCTAGAGAAGTGGGAGAAATGCCTTAAGAGGTTTTATTTATTTTTGCTTTGCCGCGAAGTGAGAACTGAATTAATTGAATGAGGAAATATATCTCTAATGAAATCGAGGAATAACTTTAAAGGAAATGCAGGAAAAAATGCGTATAATTTAATCGAGCGTGCAAAGGAATTATGTGGTGTACACATCAGATTTTTTCTTGAAGTACACCAGATGTCTAAAAACCAAAATTTAATTATCTAATCATATGTTCTTTTAAGTTGTACTCTGCTACTGTCTATAACTTAATTTTGATTTTATCTAGAGCTGATCATATGATAATAATAATAAAAGTGTAAATGACACTAAGAACTGAGCTTTATTTATCACTGCACTGCATGTATCGAGAACATTTTAAGCTAACGACATCTAACAATAACTTTTTTTTCAGAATGTTTGAGGTAGCAAAGGAATGCATTCAAACCGTAGAAAAAGAATGTCAGACAAAAGAGGATCCAAATTTGAAAGATTTTATTTCTGTGGTGGAAGATGTCTGTAAAGAAGGTTCAGAAAGAAATAAAAGTAAGTGTCTTGCACATTTTATAACTTTAAAACTGCAATTTTGTTTCTTGCAGAAATCAAAGTTTTAAATAAAATTAAATGAAACTCAAACTTATATCAAGAGCGTAACATGAGGCTTTAAAATATATGTGGCGTAATATATGTATTTTATTATTTACAGTAACGTATTCCATTTTCTTTTACTTTATCCTAATCAGATTTATTAATAAAAATGAAACAAGGTTAATATTTTAAGAAATGCGTTTATTGCTTTTAAACTGCACAATTTGATAAACGTCTATAGAATGGTTAAATTCGAAAGATAAATTTAAAACATTACGTTGCTGAATGGCAACATTATAATTACTGCTTATGTGCGAGGCGTTTGACAGATAATGTAAATTAAACACTTAAAGCTTCGGACGCAGGCAAAACTTGCAAAAATTTTGTAAAATATCTTTGAAGACCCCTTGAAGATGATTCTACTGAAAGATTTCGATTAGCATCATTTATCAGTTAAATTATCTATTGCTACCGACATCAGACGAATTTATCGACTACATTACAGATTAGCATTCGTTGAATTCTTATTTAGGATTATGTTCTAATGAAATAAGTAAACTATATACTAAAAATATTTTAGGCTACATCGATAGGATATTTTAACTGAAACTTTACTTAAATGCTTAAATTCAAGTACACTTTTGTGCAAAATTAAGAGAATTTGAACATTATGTCAAATTTCTAAAAACCTAGTGGGCAGATTTTAAGGAAATTTGTATAAATATATGTCCGTAATAAAGAGATGCACCATTCAAAAGTCATTTGATATACCTATGATTATCAGTAAAGCTCATAAAGCAGGAATGTCAAAAATCCATGTTGTGGTACAAAACAGAAAATGAGTCTAATATGGAGCATTTTTCCCTCTCACAGCCAGATATATCGGACAGCGTGACTGCATTCTGGACAGGAGACAGCTGAGGAGTCCTAGTGGCAGTCGATCTCCTTCCTGAAGCAAGACAGGTTTCATCTCCGGGATTGTTCTTTTTTTTTGGGGGGAAGAGATTAAATTTCCCTCCCAACAACGTTACAGACATACTGTATAGGGTTATGTTCAAGAGATCTGGCTGGCCAATCCATGCGGCGAATATCCCCACTTTCCAGTTAATCGTCGATCAGCTGAGCCTTATGTCGAAGAACCTTGTCGTTCATTCAGGAACCCAGTCAAACAGGCTGAACGGCACCCCTAACAGTCAAACAGGGCTCTAAGCTCTCTTCTGTATAACTCATAAAAGTCAGAGATCTTTTGTCAACATGCAGGGGCTTACTGCAGTCCAACATAATGCTTGCCCAAACCATTACACGTCCACTACCGTAATAATCTCTTTCCCTGGTTAGGGAGGTACGGTATCGTATTCTAGGCACTCTCCTAGACACAAGGAATGCGATAATTAGTGTCTAAACTGAGTATCGATTCATCAGTAAAAAGCATGGTCCTCCAATGAAGCCTGGTCCAAGGCTTATGTTGTCCCCACCATGCTAAACGCGTTTTCTTGTGTACTGCAGCAAATGGAACGCAAACAGCGGGTCTTCTGGCATACAGCCCTATCTCAAGAAGCCTTCGGGCAACTGTAGACCGTGAAACTCGTGTTCCAGTGGCAGCAGTGGCTCGTTCACGTGAGAGCTGTGAAGCTGTAGCAGTCTTGCTTCACCGCGCTCATGTGATGGATCATGGTCGACCTTCCAGGTCTTCTCAATATGGGTCTAGTGTCCTGAAATCGGTTCCACAAACTGCCGACGACAATGGGCTTACACTGAGCTCTGGGCTTGTGATTGGCCTGCCTCCAATGTACTGATCTCAATGACCCAATGTAATGACCAATGGCTGCCTCCAATGTACACCTGCCTCCAATGTACTGATAATTCTCCATTCAATTTCGTCATCCATACGTTCTTTGCTGCCCATTTTACCTAAGTCACCCATCTCTTGCGAGAAACATGGCGAATGTCGTGAAAGAGCACAGAAATCTCCCGAAACACCTCGCGCATATATCCGTCTAATATCACAGCTCCACAGACCCGCACGTGTATTCTTTCGTATTCGACTCTAAATATTTTCATAATTCTTCTGTGGGATAATTAGTATCTTTGGTCCAATAAATTTCACAAATATAGACGTAGTTTACAAATTCTTTTAATTTTGCACACGAGTGTATTATAACTCATACCTGTACTAGCATCAATACATTTTACGGTGCTGATACTCGTCAGCCTCCAATAGTTATAGCAACTCTGCAGGAAACTAGATTTAGTATGAAGAATTATTTAATGGAATTCTGACAACAATTGCAAAAATGTAGTTTTAATAAAAAGATACTTTGCAATATAAGATTTTTAAAGCTGTTATAAAACTGACTTTTACTTTTTACCAACTTAATATATAAATTGACAAATTTATTGCAAGAAAAACTAAATAAAAGGAAAAGAATTAATTTTGCGAGTTTTACAATGTATTCTCTTTGTGACTTTGAACACCTTGTAAGAGAATTTAAAGAAAAAAATTCTTTTTTGCTCTTGAAGAATAGGGATCTGTGTCTGATCGTCGCAGAAATCAATAGAATTTTATTCATAGTTGATGCCAAACTTTTGTTACAATTTACATAATTTAAAAAATTTAAACACTTTTGGGGTAATGCAGAAATTCTGGGAGGCGAAGCTATAATGGTTTAAACAATTCCAGAATTATACCTACATATTGCATAAATTACACAATAATTCATGCTTTTTTCTGTTAGAGAGAAGAAAGTGTTTTAAGAATCTTACATTTCATGGATATTTTGAGAAACCTCTTTCATTTCGGACACATTTACGAAAGACTCCTATTTTCCAAACCATAACCAAATTATAATATAATAATCGTGCATGAGAAAAAATTTCTTTTAGAAAAAAAAATTTAATTCAACATTGAATATTTATCTCTTTCCAAAGATTGAATGAAATATTTACAAATTTTACTGTATTTGCATTAAAATGCCAAGAATTACATTTTATCTGCATTAACAGTACACGAAAAAGAAACACTTTAGTATGAATATTAAAATTTTTCTAAATTCAAACTTAAATTGTTTTATAGGAAATTTTTCATAATTTAATAAATTATAGGAGTCATTATAGGAGATTATTTGAATCAGGAGACATCGAAAAAGAGTAATGTCCTCACCGAGATTCGAACCTGAACCTCTTGAATACGCTTCGAGTATGGTACCGTTACACAAGAAGGCACGCTGAAAAATGGAAGAACATTCCTTGTCTACTCTCCCTTTTAAAAGGCGACTAGGGATTAGGGGACTCGGTCGCCAAATCCTGGTGGTGACGAATTATTGTCCACAACCTTTTAGTTCGGACGCCACTGTAGCGTCATTAGGTTTTTCTAGACATGAAAAATGAGCAATGTCCTCGTCAGGACTGGAACCTAGACCTTTCGAATGTGCGTCGAGTGTGCTACCGTTATACCACAAAGGCATCCTGAAAAGAGGTAGAAAATACCTTATAATTTTCAGAACTCAAAATGAATATGAGCTTAAAATGTCGTGTTGTAACTTAATAGTTAATAATAGTCGTAGTTAGCAATCTTAAATCACTCATTTCAACAGTAAAAACAAAGGAAGTTTATAATGTTTTTATGGTATCTTGAGTCGAAGAAACGGAGAGAAAATTTTATTACGCTTTTGCATTTCTGGGACAAACTTGAGATAATTATGTCATAAATTATGCAAGTAACAATTTCGGCATTCAAAGAAATCATTAATCAGCAATATAAAAACCAATGGCTGGTAGTATAGCTCTTCGTCTTTTCGTTTTACACCAACGAGAGAAGGAAATATCATATGTCAGTGGTCTCAAAACTGGCTGTCCATGGGCCACAGCTCGGAAAGATATTTCCATTATGAATTTGTTGTAAATGCAGCCTAGAAAGGTTCAAGACTTTCATTATCTGAAGGCCAAATTTACATGGTTTTCGCTGTCATTAATAAACTCTAATTTATTAATAAAAATTTCATTAATTGACGGGAATCTATAAATGGACTTAACTAATTTACAATATGACATAAATCTTATTCAAAAATGTGAAGATACAGGTTTTATTAACTTTTAATCGTACTAGTCAAAATATAAATAAGCTCAATTACGAATTTTTGCCTTAAGAATAAATTCTTTGTTCGGGAATATTATCTGTACTTGAGCAGCTCTTTTTCACAACTGAAAATTGATAAGAACAAAACCCTGTTGACCTATGAACATCTACAATCCGTGATCAAGATAATTTCTAATAATATCTCTCCACGGCTACAAGCTTTATCAAAATCGAAACTCTTTCAAATGTTCAACCTGTAGTAAGATTTCCTTATGCAATATCGGGCATTTGCCTATTCAGCATTGGCCACTCCTAAGGCCAGAAGTGGTGGCCATTTTACTGTGGAGGCAGCTAATACAGGCGATCATTGTTGCCTAGTATGAAGGTACAAACAATTACAACCATGCCTTTTTACCGGCATTCAAGCCGGACACTTCGGCACCGCAGTAGACCGCTCTAACCACTGTACCATCTGGGTGGCGGTAGTAAAAACAGAAATTTATAATTATTTACATACAAACCTATGTATTTTTATTCCTGCATAGAAAAAAAATTAATAAATAAGAGAAAGAGACTAAGTTGTCATTATTTATTCTCAAGTTTTCTTCCTACTTGAAACATTTCCTGTAGGAAGATAATTTTCAACCCCCCAGACGTTATAATGTTTGGGGAAGCCGAATGCGATACCAAAGGGCCCGGTTCGAATCTCGGAGATGATATGATTGTAACTGTCCGTCCCTTCAAAGGAGGCAAGAGGGGGACACCTATTAGGTACCTCTATAATAAAGTAGCCACCGTTTTTAGCCTTAGTGGTGGCCATTGTCTGTGATGAATTGTGCCAGCCACTGGGGAAGGGAGATAATTTTCATAATATCTACCAGTTTAAATTAAAATAAGTTATTTAATGATTAAATAAATATGTTAAAACTATTTGAAGAAAACATGAGCCTGAAAATTTACTTTTTCGTTGTCAACATATTTGAATAAGAAAGTGCAACCAACAAAATTGTCTTGCAAATACCAAACTTTCAAAGATTTCGAATAGAAAATAAATAAATTTTGAATTTTTTTTCTTTGCAATATCACGATTCTTGTTTGCGTATATTTTTAAAAATTTTTAGTTAAGTGAAATTTAAAATATTTATTATTTTGCTAATAAATTTAAAAAAAATAATAAATACTTTGGCCCATCAGCTGTTTTCAGACCGCACATTCGGCCCGCCAGCAATTTGAGCAAACCACTGCCATACGTAATATTTTATTATTAGAAATTCATAAAGTTTAGACGTCGGAGGAATTCAAAAACAAACAAAGAAACTGTGAAAAATGTAAATTTTCGAAGATAAAAGTGCACCAATCTAAAAGCAGATACCGGGGGAAAAACGAGATTGGAAACGAAAATTGAATAAGCTAGAGTTAAACTTTTGAAGAGGATACCTTTAAAATTTTTCCTGCAAATTTTAGAAATTACCTGAATTTTAAAAGAAAAGTAGAGTTCTTTATGGTATAAATTTCAATTGAATTGTAGTACGAAGAATATTCAATCGTTTAATACTAAATGAAGGAAATTCACTCACATTTTTTCCTGAAAATTTGTATTTCTACCATGAGTAATATTTGTCACAATCTAAAAGTGGCAAAAAAAGTATTAGTAATCAGAGTGTGTCAAAAGTGGCCGAGTAGTTAAGTCGATGAGTAACGTTATTTCGACAAAGGTTCGATTCCTGACGATCCAGTTGACTGGACTGGCGTTTTCATGGTTCCCTCTACGTGTAACGTGGATATGAGAGAGTTTTCCTTAGAAAGTTCTTCGCGAATGCCCTTCTTTCTTCTTAGGCAAGTAGCTCTTATATACTTTGCAATCAAATAAACCAAAAAAATAGTACCCATGGTTTAATGCTACTGACAGCGATGTGATGACAGAACATTAGCTAGTATCAAGAATTAATTTTCTTAATTTGTGTCAAACAGAGATTTCTCAGACATAAAGCAAGAGGGAAAATTCATGGCGAATACATTTGAAAATATATTATAAGAAACGGAAAATTCTGAAAATGTATTATAAGAAGTGGGCGCAGTCCGACCCACCTAACCAAACAAGTTTGTCTTATGGTCATAACAGGCCGTGCATATATTATAAGATATTATCTTCCCCCTTTCCGCATGCCTTCGTGGTGTAACAGTAGCACACTCAGCGCGTCTTCAAGACGTTCATGTTCGAGTCCGGGAGAGGGCAATTGTTCACCTCTCCTGCTTCACAAGCATCCTAATGTCTCTACAGGTCTCTCTGGTGAGGGTTTGCTAATCTTTTCATGTCTCCTTCAAAATAACCTGTTTTTATATGTATATTAATTAAACTTCATCCTGGTGGGAAATGACGAAAGTATAAGGAACAAGATAACTGAGTAATAAATATTAACTCCTACAAGCTAGTAGAGACACAGAGATTCTGAATATGGCTAGTTGATCCTCCTATTAATATCTGACAGTTTCTCTTCTTCAATGTCTAAAACATAGATGAGCTTTTTCTTACTCTTCTGCATATTTCCAAGAGATTTTCTAATTTTATTGATGCTTGCCAACATCCACTTACTTGTGAATCCGACATGCTTGTGTGTACTGGCGCCTCAACTTAGAAAGCATAGCACAACTGTAAACAAACATCTCTCATGTACTTCTGAAATTTCATCAGGTTTCGTTTTTGCCAGTGTAGACCCAGACTTTTCCCAGACACAATGCTTAGATATCTGATCGCATATGTATCCTGTAGTATTGAATAGAAACTTTGCCGTCAGATTACCTGCCCACTGAAGCATTCAGATAAGATCTGTTAGTTATAGCCATCTCTTTTCAATAAAGCAAAAACTGCAGAAATCATTTCGCCGAAATAGCTGTTCTTTTACTGACTTATCTCCACCCGAACATAATGTTAAAACCAGAAAACGAAAGAACCTTATTTTCGAAGATCACATTTCCACACTTCGATTCGAATCTTGATAAATTAGCAATGACAATTAAGAGTTTAATATCAAGATAGGTATATTCCAGTTTAAGTGCTGAAAATGGCATTGAATGGTATAATAATGATGATTAATTTGATTTTGAAAATTATTTATAAGTGAATCGTTTCGTCTTGAAGTTATACAAATTTAAAATTGCAGACTATCTAAATTAATGCCATTTATTTCTACTTTTACGCCATTCTATCTTCTCAAACAGTTTCAATTATGCTTTAGAATTAATTTATTTTGCGGGTTTATGAGAGCTTTAAATGGGATAGTTCTGTATGACATTAATATGAAAGCAGCTGAATCCTCAAATTTTTATTCTATAAGGTAAAATCTATTGTTAATTTACAGACTTCGATATATGTTTAATTGTAAAGACGTAAGCTAAATTTTTATATAAATGCGATATACTCGTATGTTAAATTTTTATATAAATGCGATATATTAGTTAACATTAGGGTTAAGATAATGTTTTTTTTTTTTTTTTTTTTTTTTTTGTTTTTTTGTTCATCATGGAAAGAACGTACAATAGCATTATATATTAAGTATGAACATAAAAAGGTTAAACAAATTAAAGAGCATGGCAAAAAATATGCTATGCCTTTTCATGTATCATTATTTTAATGGTATGTATGTATCGTACTTGAAGTTTATTATTTCCTCTGATATTTAGTAAACGTTTTAACCTATTAATAGCAATAGAATATTTTTTGCACGTTTTTATGCTGCTATTAAGAAACTGTATCCATAAAATAAATTAACTTACTTATATTTATTTGAAGATCAATATAACCTATTTTTATTAGAGTTCATCAAGAATTTCCCTTGTTTCGGGGAAACCATCGAAAATTCTTCCAGCTGTGTAGCATCTATTGTCAAGGACGTGACCCCAGAAACTGCCCAAGATCCAGAGAAGGTGAAAGAAATTACAAAGACTGTGTGCAAGTAAGTTCAGAAAGCAGCTATGTCTGTGATATACAAAAAACATTATCTTTCACAATAATATAACATCTTTACTGATGAGTCAGAAGTGATTTTATTGCTTTTCATTTCTGTCAAATAAAGGAATATTTTCAAATATTACTTAAGTACATATTAAAACTTAAAATCGCTAATTGACATCAAAGATCAATATAAAAAATAAAATATAATAAAATTATATTTGAGAATAATGTTACGAATTTTGTACATAAGTAAATAATTTTAGCGAAAATGTAGTAGTCCCTCCCCCCCCCGGTAATTTAACTTAAAAATCTAAAGAAGCGAAGCTTTACCAAAAAGGTAAGAATACAGGAGCAAGTCTATTTAAAGTTTAGTAAATGGCTATATCGCTTAATTGGCGACCAAAACGTCGTGATATTTTGGTTCGTCCATGGACAAATTTAATTGGTATCGGGATTGAATAAATGTAATTAATCTAGATATGTAACTGTAACCCTAATGGGCCTTCATATGTCTTCCAGTAATTTCGAGAAGATGAAGGTACTAGAGATTTCTCTGTGGTCAGGGAAAATCTTTATAATACCGAGGAGAGGAAAATTTTCTCACTTTTTGTTAATTCAGAGCTGAATTCGGAGTACTGAAGTATTCGCGGGAACTTCGCTTTTTAGATACTCTTTGCACTGCGCTGTGTTTAATGTTCATATTAGTTTGAAGTGTAACTACTGATTGCCTCTGTGATACTGAGAGCAGCTGTAGAAGGAATTTTATGGAAAGCTGCAGGATTCTAAAGTGTTTCTTTGGGTAAAATGAATTTTATCATGCTATAATCGATTCAGTATGCATTCTATCTATTAAGAACCGTACGTAAGGAACAGTTTTTGGTGTCAGAAGTGGGACTGAATACCGGGGACAAAAGCGATGGATCAGCAACAATGATAGCTGTGACTGCCTTTGCTCTATTCCAAGAAATGATGGAAGAGGCAGTCAACACCGTTAAAGAAGAGATGAACGTTGACCACAAAAAGATGGAATGGGCCGTCAACTCCATTAGAAAAGAGATGAAAACGGGCCAAGAAAGATTTAAACATGTCAAAACGAAATGAAAAGAAAAATTTTTGTCATAATAGAAAAAAAATAGAGGCTATGGAGTTTAGAATAGACACGGTTGAAGATAGACTTGAAGAAATTCAGAAATTTTCTGCCTTCCAACAACAAATTCATGATATAGTTCCTGCTACTATCACCAACGAAAGTAACAGTTTAAAGAAATCCATAACGACAGCTGATCACAATTCTAATGCCTTTAAATTCGAACATACATCGTCCGGACCCTCTCTAAAACTCCTATCATGTGTTCAAGACGCAGTTCTCTACAGTGGCAAACGTAAATGGACGGGATGCAGAAGCTAAAACCTGCCATCTTACTGCTTCTCTGAGAGCAGACTCAGCAGATTTCCTTAAAAATTCGAAAACTGAAGACTAGATATCAAAGCTCTATCCGGCGCGTTAGAGTTAAGCTTTGGCGAGAGCTGTTTAAAATGCTATAGCAGGCTTCAGTTAAAATCTCACAAACAGAAGCTCACGGAAAGATTCCAGGAGCTCGTCACGGATGTTGAAAGATAGACACAACTTACCTTTTTAGACTGCCCATCAGAATCCGGTAATGATTTGAATCCAGCAATTTTGTGATCTGAATCCGGCAATGTGTTGTTACACATTACTTTCCTAAGCATTAGGTAACCGACCTCGTTCAAAAGGCCAATTTTGGCTACAAAATCTCATTTTTTATTTCCTATTTTTAAACGTCACACTCTTAGCTATTAAAAATAGCTTTTCTTTTCTTGATATGTCTATTAAAGGTGGAGATATAGCAGTTTTTCTGAGAGACGACAAGCCGAAGTTTTGTTTCCATAGCGGAAGTAAAAGTTTAAACAAATTAAAAATTTAAAAAAATGCAATTTTCGCCTTTTTTGAGCTATTTGATAACTAAATAACTTTAAAAACACTTCAATTAATATGGAGAATCTTGCAAAGCTTTTTTATTATGTAATTTCTCATTTTCGTTTTGCAACGTGATATATGTCATGCAGTGTTAATCTTAACACTTTATTGATATTTTTTTAAGATTTACTTCACAGCAACCATGATAATTATAAAAGCTCTTCATAGAATCATTTGAAATTTTGCACACAGAGTTTGCATATTATTATGCATGATGTAGATTAAGAGTTAAAAAATTAGCTTCACAAAATTTGAATTATATCATTTTTCCTTCAATAGAGTACGCATTTTTTTTTTTGGAATGTTTGTGTGTTGACTAATATACAGGGTTATTCAAAAAGAAAGAGCAGATTTCAAACATTTATTTCTTCCAAACTACAAAAGATAGAAACATGGTTCTAACGTTAATGGATAGACAAAAGTTTACAATTATGGTATGCATTGAATAACTGCAGTTTGTATGGCTTCATGTGCAGACGATGTTTTAGAACTCTCCATACTGTTGGTTGAGGAATTTTTAAGTTCTTTGCTTGCTCGCGATGTGGATTTCTTTGGGCTCCTTTCTTAAAGTGTACGAATACGCTCGACATTCTCGTTCGATGTGCGTGGACGTCCCGTGCTTTTTTCCCTTTACAGATGCAGATGCAAACATCTTCTACGAATTTTCGAGACCACTCGTAAATTTGCTTTTGACGCGGTGGTTGTTTATTAAATTGACGGCGAAATGCTCGCTGAACTGCAACAATGGACTCTAGTTTTGCCAATTGTAGAACACAAAAAGACTTCTGTTGTGGTATCGCCGCGATTCCACTACAGTCTACCAACCGACAAATAATACCAGAACAAACAGCAGCGCCAATGCGGCCATGATTGGAACTTTTACCCATACTATACTGTACACTTTTCTCTATCTATTAACGTTAGAATCATGTTTCTATCTTTTGTAGTTTGGAAGAAATGCATGTTTGCTCTTTCTTTTTGAATAATCCTGTATTTAGCCATACATTAGTAGGTAATCAATATTTTCCCTTTATTCTATTTCCCTGTAGGCGTACGGTTGATATACATAAAATAAAGTAAAAAATAAACTTTTATCATCATTATTTTCATGTCAGTGATAGCTGACTTTTTTGTTAATTTCGATATAAAATTTTTTATTCTTTGGTAAATTTCACAAAACAATGAATTTTTATCACTTTTGCAGTGATTATATTTAAGTGTGAGTGAAATCCAATATAAAATTTCATAAATTCAGAAATATAACAAATCTTCTGAAGAAAGTTCTTTGAAAGAAGTCTGCTATCTTTATTTTTTGATTTAGGCTAAATGCAACGAAAATTAACTCATTGTGAAAACGAGCTCACGTTATAAAGCAATTAAATGCATTAACCTTAATCCTCAGTTCTATGTTCGTTTCTCTTTTGTGTGAACGTATAAATGCATGCACTTTTTAAATAAAAAGATGCTCCACGAAACGTTATCGCTACGTATTCTTTTTAACGCAATAATATAGCAAATAGGAATTGTATAGTAATATGTATGGCAGAAAAGCATAAAAATAATTAATACTCAGTTTGGTATTGTAAAGATATGCTGATCTTAAAGATTTTGTGATTTTGTTGCTGAATTTTAGGTATTGTAAATGAGAAGAAAGTGATGTTTAATAGATAAAGTTAAATTGACAAATAAAGAATTCATAATTTTATGAAGAAAACTGAACACCTATATCATAAACGGAGAAAAGACTGAAAAGGAAATGTATGGCAATAATTAACAAACTATCGTTAATTCTAAAGATATGTTGGTTTTAAAATTTTTGTCATTGTTAATTCATTGGTTTGTGAGTTCTAAACACTGTATGACCAGAAGCTTCATGCGATATTTTGAAATCAAAACATGAGAAATCATGTGCACATGAAAGCCCATTATTATCTTTGGCCCTTGTATCGGAGAATAGAATAATAAAAATAGTAGAGTTTGTAATTAACACTCAGCCGTAAAGATTACAAACAAATTGTATTCAGTTTGCAAACGATGAACCAGAAGTTGTGGTTTACTTAAAGTACGTCTCTGTTCTGTCATTTCCATGTTCTAATAAGGAATTGAAATGCTGGCCATATGAGATGTTTTTAAACCAATATATGTTATCGTTCCAATTTTCACTAAAATCTGTCCATCAGTTCTAGAGATAATGAACCAAATCGGAAAATTCTTATTTTGAAACCAGCGTAGTTTGTCCTGAATTCGGTTTGCTTGTGACTGAAAAACCTACTTGAAGTTTTTTCAGTGGATAATGTAAATATAATCGAGTTTTCCTTTAGGAATATGTTAATGAAAGTGTACATCTCTTAGTTAAATTGAATAAATTAATTTAAATTCTACGCATGAATTTAATAAATACAATGAACAAATTTAGACAATGAAACCTCGTATCACGAACTCCCCACTTCACGAATAAACTAGCTAAAGCCTCAGATGATGAACAAAGTCTCGAGTTACGAACACACAAATCGGCAACATATGATTTTCAAAGATGATTTGAGGTAACTTACGACATATTATTAACACTCAAGGAGTCATGGAAGCCTCATTTTAATATCTTCCGTTGCTGAAGTATCATTACCTGGCAACAAGCAAGTGGTTTAGTTTGGTTTATCGAGATTACGGCAAAGCACACTAGGACTATCTGCCTAAGGGCAGGGATGCCTTCGTGGAGGACTTTCTAAGGGAAACTTGCTCGTATACACGTTACACATGGGGAAAAGCACAAAAACGCCCACGCAGCCATCCCGTTCGCGGGATTCGAACCTCGGACCGAACTACCAGTGTTCAGCGACTTTACCGCTCGGCCTCTGGTGGGCGGCAACAAGCAAGTGACTTGGAGCTTCATGAATTCAGCTTGGAGGTAATTATGGCCGGAATGTATCTGTAGGCAGAGATTGCGTTGATTCTTAGGATGTTTTTTGTTATTTATGATATTGTGTCTGGAGACAAAATATTGGACAAAAGAAGGTTAACAGTGAAAACCTATAGAAGAAATTACAGGACCGCCTAACCAGAATAGTGGTTAGCGACGCTGCTGGGAAAGGCATGGATGTTTGTAAATATACGTGGTCTGTGCGGCATGGGGGCACTTAAAATATGCGGGGAGCCGAAAGTCGTTTTAAGGGCTTGATGGCAGGGGAAGAGGTGTGAAAGACCCTCGGAACCATCACCACGTGGTACTTTCGATCAAAATTGAAGGCGGAACTCAACAAAGTCCTACCGTCACCTGTATGGAGCTCAAGAGTCTTGCCAACAACAGACGCAACCTTGCACTCCTTACCAAGATGAATTTTGTTGGCTTGTTTCTGTTGTCAGACAAAATGAGATAAGTCACAAGAAAAACAATAATAGTATTTAGAGGAAATATTTAGCTGAACAAGAGAGATGTATGACTTCAGCAGCAGCAATAAAAGACAATTGTGGATGAAATGCCTGAAGAGAAAGAAGCAGAAAGAAAAATTATCTAGATCTCTAATTTGTGAAATTTCTTTTGTCTTTCATACCACATTAATAAAGCAGCAGCAGGTTTCAGAACAAGCAGTGATAACTCCATGTCTCAATTTAGGATTACTTTAAAACGTAGTCAACAACATATCATACTGGACCAATTTTGAGAGAAACAAAGGCTCGGTAGGTCTCAGGTAGGGTCAAGTTACGTTTTAGAAACAAAGCAAAAAAGATAAGACAAGGTGACTTCTAAAGAAAATTACTTTATATCTTTATGGAAAGGAGATTAGAATCCAAACAATAGCACTATCTTTCTCATCATTTTCCGCTTTTCTAGTCCACTGTTCTGTAATACAATGGAATTAAATTAAGTTTCCGCATATTTTATCTACTTATTATTGTTCTTATCGTTTTATTTTCAATATTTAATTATTTCCATTTTTATGAATATTTTTATGTCCGGTTTTGCTTGGCTATGACTTTGATTATTTGTGTTAAATTATATGATCTAGTCTTCTTTGCTAAGATATACTGCAACTAGACCTACTTGAATGTATGTTTAGCGACGTATCTCTCAAACTAGAAGACGAAAACAACAGAGAAAGGGTGTAAAAGACCCATTTATTGAACTCAACTATTTACAGACGGCACATACTTAAGTGCTTACGATTTCGCCAGCCACTTGTGATGAGGAACTTAAAGATAATGTTAAACTAAACTAAATTTAAAGGCAACTAGTAGTTTAAGACTGTACAAATTGATTTTAACTAGCAGGATGACTCAAAAACCTACAACGGCTTAATATTAATTTCGGCCGCAAGAATGCGAAGCCGAGATTCAGAATTCAAACAGCTGGTAAAACTAACGATGTGCACTATAGCAACACACGCTCTAAAGTTTTCGTTACTTCGGTTTAAATATACTCTCGTGTACCCTAACTCCTCTATATCTAGGCGAAACGCGAGGGAAATCATAAACGACAAAAAAGACAAACAAATTAAAATAACTATCAGTAAAAGTAATATACCTCACAAAATCATCTGTAATCCAGGAACGAATTTATCCATTTTACATTAATTCCTAAAAGGGAGAGAATTCTTTTGGTTTACCAATATTTTGGTTAACGAACGACCTTCAAGAAGCAAATTAAATTCGTGAACTCAGATTTCAATTTACCTGTCATATAGGATAAGTAAAAATTAGTTGTGTACACCACAACTTCCTTGTACGGAATACTAAATTTTACGCATTTTTTCTTGCATTTCATTTAAACTTATTGGATTGAACTAAACCTACTTCGCCGATAGCGCATAAACCACAATAGAATATAAATGCATTCTTTAAAATTCACTCTATTTGTTTACCATAGCGTCACTCTGGTGCTAGGTTCACTTAACAGTATTATATTTCGCTCATATTATAACTCAGAATGCACAAAATTTAGATCATTTGAAGAATTATCTAATCGTTGCCACATGTTCCATTCAAATACTATAATAAATCTAGAACGATGTATAAAATTTAAGCAAACAAAACAAAAAAGAAACAGTTTTTCACACACGATTGAGCATTTTATATTCAATTAATTCAGTTCTCCCTTCACGACAAGGCAAAAATACATAAAAACTCAAAATATCTATATTAGAAATTACAAAGTAAATCTTAAACACTTATTTCCTCGAAAAAATTCCAGAATGAATTAAACATGATTTAATTCGCAATAATAAAAGAAGGCGTTATCTTTGTTGTTGCGAAGCTTAGTTTCTCTAGATTGGCAACAAATCCATTATTCTGCCAAGTTTGAAATGTAAATAAACATGGCCGCCATCGCAAAAATAATTAGGCTTAACCGCACTTAAACAACTTTAAATTGTTGATAACTCTAAAAATATTGCATGTAGATTTACTAAAGGAATATAAACCTTAACCGGAAGATAAGAACAACATAAATTCAATCATTTGTAAAGCAAAAAATGCACAATTCACAAACATATAAGACTAAAGAAACTGAGAACACCGGGTAAGAGAGTGGATACAAATATATTTATATACGTTTGGTGCGGCCGATTGCAACCAAAATACTAGATGCACATCTACATGTTATAGCAGTCCTATATACAAAATTTCAACGTTCTGAGGCTACTCGTTTTTGAAGTATGCGAGATACGTATACAGACGCCACGAAAAATTCTCTTTAGAATTCATTTTAAAGCAGTTTTATAATTTTTTTGGAGGAAACGAGTCTTATATTCTGTCCTTACGTACAGATGTCACGCAAAAACATCGTTAAATTGCATTCGATAGCAGTCAAAGTGGATATTTTTGTTGAAATATGCTGTCTGAAACTTTTCGCGATTACAATACTTTCTTTTTACTTCGTACAAGAAAGTAAAAAAAAAAAAAAAAAATAATCGCGTTACAGTTGATTAAAGCAAACAATTTATTCATTTGATTACCCAGGCTTCTTGTCATACATTACACGAACTTCAAGTGAAATCCGTTTGTCGCGTAACAGACATCCAGACTGTAGTCCATCTCATTTCGAGGGCAAAACGAATCCCCCTTCATTCAGAATATTTCCCTGATGAAGGAGGACCCGTTTTGCCCTCGAAATCGACTGGGTTTTTACAAAATCTACGCCGAATACAAGGTTATCGATTTGTCTGCTTTATTTACCCGGCGAATATCAAAAGGCACGTAATAATACGGCTGAGCTTAACAGTTTCAAGAGTGACTTACCCCGAAAACAAACACAAGCGACTAAGGATTTCTAGCACTCTCTAGCGAAGTTAGTTGAACCTTCCTTATATACTTTTTTTTAACTCAATTGCATTCAGCGCGATTCTAAAAAATTTATTCTGGTAGGGAGTTGTAAGTGAAAACAAGAAGTGATAGAAAAGGGCTTTAAAATTAAGATAGTTGTTATAAAATTAAAATATACCTTACAAAGTGAAACCGGCATTTATAGTGAATCGGTGCAAAATACCGTTTCGAGACTAATAGCCCTTCTGGAGCTAATGTCCCTTTGAGCTATCAATATCTTTAACATATTCCCACTCCAACAACATTGAATAAAATGGCTCAAAATTTGATTCTTGGCAAACTTGGAGTCAAGTGAAGAACACACTGACGTTTGTTCCTTTTGGACTCCAGGGCTGGTAAATATCGGAACTGTTGTATATAACAAAAGAATCTCACGTAGAGCATCTGTAACGTGTAATAAAAGCCTTCGATAATTAAAGTTTTATTCGATATATCACAAGCAAATATATACCAATTTCATATATTCTAAGTTATATATTCTAAGTTTAACTAAGTTTATATTCTAAGTTTATAAGTTATTTGATATATTCTAAGTTTGCATGTTTCGAGACTTAATGTGATGTTAATGCTAGTTTACTACTATTGTAAATATCCTGTATTTTTCTTTTCGCAGGCAAATGGATAGTATCGTGACATGTTTCGAAAAGAAAGTTGAAGATGCTTGTTCGAAAGACGTCAAAAAGTTTTTCCAGGAACTATATAACCCTGCTCTCAAGGTGGTCAAGAACAGCTGCGAAAAAATATTAAATGACGACGCTTCTAGCTCCCGCGCAGTATCTTGGCTTGTAAACCTTTCAGTGTTGGTTTTCTTATTCTTTTGGTACTCTCGCCGATAAGGAATATGAAAGCTTATTCTTTTTCCTGCGATTTAGATCATTAAAATTAAATGTATATAATAACGCAAATATGATTAAATTCTTTTAAAAATATTTACTTTTAAAGCAATATACTATGTGATTTATTCAAATAAAGCATAAAAACAGTGAAGACATATCTCATTTTATTGCGCTTTTTTTTTAAAAGCCGACAGCTTTTCGCAGTCCTGAATCAAACCAGCGATGGTACATTCGATCATAGTTTAGTAGTTTCCAAATATTTCGGAATATTTCATGTTTTTCATTATAAGTTATAAGATTTATTGTTATAAGATTCTGTTTAAATTGATTGCCCTTGCTAACTAGAATACTTGAGAAGGGTGTAGCGACAACTCGCTGACTTCTTAAAACTCCAAGAATAAATCCAAAGAAAGGTTCTTTAACGTAAGATAGGAAATAAGAAACTAAACGAGTGCTAACTAAATAAAATCTAGTCGAAGCTCTACAGAGATAACTAGCTGCGTTGGCCCTTATTTGAACCTCAACCCCTCAGTCCCGAATACTAAAAGACACGTAGCAATACGGCCGAACATAGATTTGGCTTAAAGCAACGGAGTGGCTAGAAGGCAGAACATGCTGTACTGGAACTCAGTCAGGGATTCCCAACTTTATGCCCGAGGGTACCATGGCGCCTGCCGATCGTTTGACATGTGCCCTCTATTGTGCGATCACAATAAAAATGTTTTAGTTTTCAATAGAATTCTATGTGAAAGTTTTCTCATTTTTAACACTTTGCAGCACAGTGTGTCCAGTCTGGACACACCATAAATTTCCTTCTGTACGCACAGTAAAATTGAATGAAAAAGGATTTATAGGTACTAAAAGGATTTATAGGTACTATAGGTTACTCTGAACCTTCTTTATTTATAGTAGATGGCAGCTCAACACAAACCAGTCCATATATTTTAGCCATGTTTAGTATTTTAAGACCCTCATTTTTCAAAGAAATCTTCCAGATTTTTTAGGGTATAAAAGGAATTGTTTGAAAAGAAATTTCTATTGGCTGTATGCTAATCTCCTTATTATATATTAATTTTAAATTCTTGCCTTGAAATCTTGCCTAAAATCAAACGGCGAACCCTAGGTGTGCCCAGACAGGACTCACCGATAATCTAAAACAACTGAGAGTCTGCATTCTTTGTTTCTCTACATCTCATCGATCAGTTCATTAACAACAATACTCGTTTCAGCACTCTTTTCGAAGCTCTATTCAATCAGTGTGCCCAATTTTGGGTACACCCACAGAATTATAAGATAAGTGCTATCTTCACAAAATTTTACTTGTGTACTCCTCTAGACCTAATTAGACTGCCTACCTTTTTCTTATCGCCGGCCAGCGGCCGAGCGGTAAAGTCGCCGAACACTGGTAGTTCGGTCCGAGGTTCGAATCCCGCGAACGGTCTGGCTGCATGGGCGTTTTTGTGTTTTTCCCCATGTGTAACGTGTATACGAGCCAATTTCCCTTAGAAAGTCCTCCACTTAGGCAGATAGCTCTCGTGTGCTTTGCCATAATTAAATACACACTTTTTTTTATCAAAACTCCAACTTTAAAAGGTAGCATGCCGGAAAGGGTTAATGAAATAGAAATTGCATCAACACAGATACCAGCGCAAAACGAAATGCGACCGATCTCTTTTTTTTTATGTGCATGTATTATTAACTCTATCCAACTGTAAATTGACCTTGAAAAAGTAAATGGTGCCCTCCGTCCGACTGATATTCTAGAATAATGTGCTCTTAGGGACAAAAAATTGGGGAACCCGTATTCTAAGCTTTTCAACGGAAGTGACCGAGACATTGCATACATTGGTTCTACTTCATTTACATAAAATGCGGTTCGGAAAACTCATTCTGGCAGGTAGTTGTAGATGAGAAACAAAAGAATAAAGTAAAGGGTTTCAAAATTAAAACTAACTATTATGGAATTAAAATAAACCCTACAGTGTCAATGCTTACTAGTAGATTAATTAATTATTGTAAAATGTTATATGATTTAATAGTATGTTAATCGAAAATAAAGTCACTTACATGGTAATTGATCCAAGTGTTTGTAAGAAATCCCATTTTACGTATATTCAGTACTGCTCTTTATCCTCAGGTAATATGATATAAATCTTACTGGAAATGCGTGATACCGCGGACAAAGGTGAGCATTGTACTAAGCAAGATATTCATGTAACGTGCATAAAAAAAATAGTTTGATTGATAAATATTTCGTATAACACTTTAAAAAAGTTTATCATATGATACACTATATTACGTCTTACAATGCTAAATAAAATAACATAAAGCGCTTTGAAGTTGAACAGAATTATTGCAGTATGTAATGTTCTCCCTGATCCCACTTTAAGTGGAGAAGAATGTAAAGAATTACCCCATTTTTCCATACATGCTCATGTAGCATCAGAGGTTAATATATATATTTACACAGAAAATGGAATACTGTATTTCTAGTCTAAGCGAAAGCACAAAATTTTTCATGTTTCCTTTACCGAAAAGCCTCTAAGTAGCCTAATGGTATATCTTTAATATGGAAGGTAAATAAGTTTGATGTAAGACGAATAAGGCGACGAAAAAGTGATGGCAACCCTTGTCGCATTAATGGCATATTTACCATTTCTCCTATGAGTACAACTTGAGAAAAGCTTTCTGTCATATCAGTCAGATAAAGATTTTTAAGGTGCAGAAGATGAAAACACCCAAATCCTCTTTAAAACTCAGGAAGATCAGTAAATGATCGTTACTAATTGTATCCTTTGTGACGTTGAAAAAACGAAAAGCTAGTATAGTGGTTCTCCATCTCTTTTGCCCCATGCACCCCTTTTACCTTTGTTAGACGATCATAGTCTCCTCCTCCTTTCCAAAACCAGAAAAAATACATACACAACTAACTTGGATTAATTTTTAATGTGTTTTATAAATTTAACAAGAAAAGTAAGGAAAACATTCATAAATATCAAAACCTGAATAAAATTAGATTTTACATTTATAATCTAAAACTAAATATTTGATAGGCAAATAAAAAGCTGACCGCATTCCTTCCAGAATCTATAAAATCCCTTCAGGTGGGAATTTTATGGTTAATTTTTATTTATACTATTGTTGATATAATTAATAATAAGGGATTTCCTCCCTGAGTAAGAACCTCCTGATGAGATCCTCTTGTATACCTGATTAATCCTCTTATATACGGCCAGCAGATAATCAAATTAATCGCATGGAATAATCTTGTGGCCTGATGAAAATAAATGTACGCATCTGTGTTTAGTAGGCACAGGTCCTGATCTTTTTTAAACAGCTCTAATCGTCGTCCTCGAACACTCTTATTCTAGCTGCTCTACATAGGACTGTATCTGTCACAAATAGGTAAAACTTTGCAGAATTGGCCTATCATGATAATTTAGAACAGAAGTTATTATTTCTGTTGAAGAACGCTTGGCGGAACCTGGAATTTAAAAGGGATAAGTTGCTTATAAAATAAACTTTATCAAGTTTTACAGCTTTTGTGACAATTACTTACACCGGAATAGTGCTATGACTTTGTATGAGATTTGTAACAATGGCAGCTGTGATATTTAATGCCACAGGGTGATCGCTTCTGAAGCCCCCCTTTTTTTTTTTGAACTACAGAAGATGATATCAGTATCAAAACCTCGGCTGAAGTTAGTACCTTACAGGTAGTAGCTAGGCCAGATTACCTGTGGTACCCCAGGTGACTGACATATTGCTGAAACTAGCTAACTGTTAAGCTTGGGCGCCAATTTTGAGAGAGACCACCGATAAGTGCAGTCCGAGGGCCTAACGCTCTGCCACCAACTCTTTAGAGGATTTTCAACTTGCCGTTTATTTTCAGTGCTCCTTGCCACACACATCCTATACGCTTATAAACATCCCTGCCTCTCTAGGATTCGAATTCGTATCCATCGGTATGGCAGTCAGTTTCACTAACTGCTATACCGGCTGGATGGTTAGTATCTCTAGTATACATTCTCATGAAAACCGGGAGATTTAGACATGGACCTTCCACAATAAGCCCAACACGATTGTTTAGAATTAAATGTAAATCTTGATTGCAACTATGAACCGAGCTATAATAGCGAAGGGAAATTTTGCCGAAACACCACACCCCAAGCTGTAGACGAAGGTAATTTTAGGAAGTCGCAAATTTCAATCAACCGAAGAAAGTTTTTCTCACTCAGAGGCATCAAGTAAAATTCTCAAGCTTTTTTGTGCTAATTATGTTGGAGAATTTTCATTGTTTAGTCATACATGCGTAATAAATGGTAGAATAGACTAATATCTATTTACATGTCTAGTAATCATAAAATACTTTCAAACTTTTATGTTGGAACATAAAACTACCTATACTAATAAAAGCTTTTCTTGACGACGTAATAATTTTTTCGATAATGGATAAAGAAAGTTTAGCAGCAATCATAGCCAATTGTATTCTTTCTTTAATTGTAGGACTAATTGAAGTTGATTGTTTTATACTCATAGGATACGCAGTTCGCTTCCTACTTTTTTCACATTTCTCTAAATCTCTGAAATATTATTCAGTATAGTTAAAATTATTCCCAAACTATAGCTATTTATCATAAACTGAGAGACATTATCAACATATCAAAAGAAAACATTTTTAAATACAAATTTCAATTATCAAATAAGGATTACATGATACATTTAAGGAATAAAACACTTTTTTTTGTGTGCAAAATCTTCCTTTATTTTTTAATGCTGTTCTTCTCCCAATATACCCAGTGATCCACTTTTGCATTAAAAAAAGCTGATGTCTGCACTACATGATTTCCTTGTACGGAATATTAAATTATATGCATTTTTTCTTGCATTTCATTTAAACTTATTGGAATGAGTTAAATCTACTTCGTAGATGGTGCATAAACCACAATAGAATGAATGCGCTCTTTAAAATTCATTGTATTTGTTTACGATAGCGACACTGGCGCTAGATTCACTTCACAGCGTTACATTTCGTTTAAATTGTAACTAGAAATGCACAAAATTTATATCATTTGAAGAATTACCTAATCGTTACCACGTGTTCTATTCAAATACTATAATAAATCTAAAACGATGTATAAAAGAATTTAAGCAAACAAAACAAAAACGAAGGAGTTTTTCCCAGACGATTCAGTATTTCTCATTCAATTAATTCAGTTTCCACTTTGCGGCAAGGCAAAAATACATAAAAAAACTCAAAATATCTATATTAAAAATTATGAAGTAAATTTTAAACACTTATTCCATCGAATAAATTCTAGAATGAATTAAGCAGGATTTAACTCGCAATAATAAAAGAAGGCGTTATCTTTGTTGTTGCGAAGCTTAGTTTCTCTAGATTGGCAACAAATCCGCTATTCTTCCAAGTTTGAAATGTAAATAAACATGGCCGCCATCGCAAAAATAATTAGGCTTAACCGCACTTTGATAATTCTACAAATATTGCATGCAGATTTATTAAAGGCATAAGATAAGAACAACCATGCAGGAACAGGTATAAGAACCGGAAGATAAAAGCAACATAATTCAAGCATTTGTAAAGCCAAAAACGAACAATTTACAAACATATAAGAGTAAAGAAACTGAGATCACTGAGCCGGGTAAGAAATAGGCTATATATATATAATTTTGGTGCTGCCAATTGCAACCAAAATACGAGGTGCACATCTATATGTTATAGCAGTCCTATATACATAATTTCAACGTTTTTCAGGCTATTCGTTTTTGAGATGTGCGAGATAGGTACATACGTACGTACGTACGTACGTACGCACAGACACTACGAAAGATTCTCTTCAGAATCCATTTTAAATCGGTTTTTAATTTTTTTTTGGGGGGGGGGAAGTCTTTTATTCTGTTCTTCCGTATAGACGTCACGTAAAAGCATCGTTAAATTGCATTCGATAGCGGTCAAAATGGATATTTTCGTGGAAATATGATGCCTGAAGCTTTTCGCGATTACAATACTTCCATTTTACTTCGCACACGGAAGTTAAAATTAGCTTATAAAAGAAACCGTGTATTTCCATGTGGCATAATTTTAATGTCAACTGCATAAGAACAATTTTTAATCTCTTTAATTATCAGTTTTTATTTATTTTTTAAATGTGTATAATAATAAAGCAATCAGATTTCAACTTTGATTAGCAGATGTCCGCTCCGTAATTGTTAGTTACAACAGAGTCTTTTATATGTTTTGTACCTGAAGACGGAAAGTGCAGAAGACTAACAGGAGAGAAGATAGAAAAAAGTAATTAAATTAAAATTCGAAAGTCTGGATAAACTAATTTAGTTTCTGTTCAACTTCATTTTGATTTCTTTATTCAAAATTCAATTAACGAAATTTAAAATTATTGCGAGCTAAAGGTTATTTTCATAACACACACGTTAATGCTTTGTTGTGGCATCTGCAGAAATTTGCGTCGGTTTCGTTTTCGATCCAGAGGCCAAAAATAAATAATATCAAAAATCATACCCATTATGTAAAAGTTAAACACATAAATCATGATTCTATATTTCAGAAAAACAAAATTAAACAACGTTTTAAATTTACCATGCATATTATCATATGAAAATTGCTAATTTCTTATTGTAATGAAGTATAACTTCGAATTTTTTTCCTCCTTACAAGATGGTCACCAGATGCCGCGCAAAAACATCGTTAAATTACATTCGATAGCGGTCAAAATGAATATTTTCGTTGAAATATGATACCTGAAGCTTTTTGCGATTACAGTACTTCCTTGCGTATAACTTTATAACATGTGCTAACAGAGACGAATATTTCTCTGCGTATCTTATAAAAGTCCAAAATCCTTCCTCAGTTTCTTTCAAGGTAACTTTCTTGGCTCTGTGTATAGTCTTTATCTTCCTCCTCGTCGCCATCGTCATCTTTTTTCTTTCCCAGTACATGTTCGATTGATTCGTCGTCATCTTTAAAGAATGGGGCGTAAGAAGAATTGTGTACATCCACACAAGCCTGCACCTCTTCTTACTTTCCTCGAATATGTAACTGAATTCAAGATATCGGACACGGGCGCCGGACGTGTTTTAAAACCAAGAGGATCTTTGTTGTCTACGAGCAACAATAACAAGATAAAGTTATGTTTATCATATCTTTTCAGGTACGAGAAAAAGTAAATATGGGGTATTTTAATATGATTTTTTCTGAAAAGCTTTGTTACGTTGGACGGCAAAAATATAAAACAAATGTTTTTCACATTTAAGTTTTCAGATTGCTAATATAGTACACATATTTCATCGCATAATTTCGTTTACTTCGGATCTAAATTTAACCTCGGATTAAAATTAGCTCGCATAAACTTCGGATTTAAATTTAAATTTACAAAAGTGTCATTATTTTGATATTACCGGTTACTTAAGAGACACCTACGAGAAATTTTTACTGCACTATAAAAGTAAAGCAAGATAATTTATTACTTACCCTTCATTTTTTTTTTAATTTCAGAGAAAATATATTTAATTTATTTCAAAAATTAGCATTTTTACCATTTAAGCACTTTTCTTGTTAAATAACTAAAACTATATCTTCTTCACCTATCCCCTGAAATTATTTCTTTTTTTACGCCATCTCTATTCTTTCTTATACATCGCTTAAATTTCTCAAGGATACTTTTTATTAAAGGAACCGTATATTCAAGCTAACACGGATACGGATATAATATACGTGTGCCAGCCTATCGCCCGATTACTCGCTCAGTAAAAATTTTCCTAATACAGTGACTTTGAATTTCGATGAGTTGAATGCTTCCAAAGAAAAATACGAGATAAAAGAAAAGTGAAGACCTTTGTCCCAGTGCAGGATTAATATTTCAAAGAAAATTCCAGGACTGATATTTCAGGTATGCAACCAATGAAACAAATGAATGGAATAAGGTGATAAGTGACAGGCGGACCAAATAAAGATAGTCAAATTATGTATGATTCTGCGTATGAAAATTTCGAAATATACAACCCTGCACAAAATTCTAAATTTTCAAACAGTGAAGATGCAATATAAATAATAACACAGATATAAGTAAAACCTATGCATTAATCAACTCTTAGAATTAAGAGATATATCAATCTCAGACGATAATCGAAATACCTTTCAAACTGCTAAAGTATGACGTAATTATACCTTCATTATTTAACAGTGGAAATTAAAACTCATAAATTATATACTTCTTAATTCTTTAATTGTATATTGTTCAAGAATTATAAAATGTGTTTTATTCTGAAAATAAAAATAAGCTACGTTATTAGCTAGATTATATTAATTTTTATGCAAATACGACAGAATGGGACATGACGTAAGGATATGCAGTCAAATTAAAATTCTATTTACTATAGTTTCATAGCACGAAGAGATAAACATAATATTTAACAAATATTCTATCGAAATGCGTACTAACGGTAAGTTTATTTCCTTTACTATTAGATACCCTTTTTTATGTTCGTTCGCCAAACAGCAATCGTCAAACCACTAATTCCTTACCTTAGGTCCATTTCAGTCAGATGCTAAACTATAGCGTTAGGGGTTACAAAAATCTGCAAGTTCTTTTCAGGTCTAGAGATGGATCAAAGCTGGAAAATGTAAATTATTAGGCTCGCTAAAGGTAAGTTTGTAATTCATCTTGGTTTTATTTGAATATAAAATCTAGTGACTTTCTTTCAGTAAAAGGAAATTTCCATTAGTCACATAAGTTGACCTAGTCTGATATATGTACATTTATATATACATATATCTCCAAATCGGATATCTCTCGAAATCTGATATATGTATAAACGTATATTATATACCTAAGATATATTGATGTTGTAAAAATCCCAGAGCTCGCTTAATTTAGTTGATTGAAAAAAAGTGTATAAAAGGAAAAGCATCTGTAACAAAACGTTAGCATATGATGTTCCTTAAATTATAATTAATTGTGAAGATCAGTTGTTTACTTTATGTACTGGAGTGCAGCTACTAAGTGATTTTATATGTTAATCATCATTTAAAATGTATTTGTGACTATTTTTTGGATATTAGTCAACTTTCTTCAAGACAGAAAAATTAGAAACGTTTGCACTAAATATATCTTAAAAATCTCTGAAGTCACTATCCAACGTAGTGTATAAAATGTTGGGAATGTAATATAAAACTGAAGCATACAGAACTGTATAGAAGTTCAAGTTTTATATTCACTTTTCTTATCATTACAATGAAATATAAGCTTTCCAAAACTTCTTAATTGTATAGTTCAATCTTACGTTATAATTATGCTTTAAGCTTTGGTTGTTCTACATCTACCTAAAGAATTCTATGGCAGTTTTTCCTAGCTTTTGCAGAACTGAGCGTGAGAAAAAAATATTGAACGATTTCTTTCTAAACGGAGGTGCTGAATTGTTTAGTATATAAACTTTCTACTATTTCACAAGGATTTTAAAGACAGTTCAGAAACACGAAAACTGTGAAGTGCATCAGCATTTAATGTAATTTTAACTCAAATGGAAATGTTAACTGTTTATAAAAAGTTAACTAAATTGAGTTTTACGGTTTTGTTTACTTAACAATCATAGCAATAATTACGAACCGAACTTATGTATACGTCAGGTACAACGTGACAGTACTTAAAATATTTTTTTTCGATTATGCTAATATTTCTATGATTCTAATAAAACGTAGTTCTACAACACATGAAAACTTTCCAGCATTTTCCTCTTAATCTAATCACCAACGAAATTGAAATATTTGCTCGAGAATGTTATCGATTTATGTTATATCGTGAAACGATTCCAAGGCAGTATTTTTTAAAATAGAAACTGTTTTCAGGGAAAATTATTCAACTTCCTTATTATTCCTGTTTAACTTCCTGAGTTGAATTTAATACTTCTAAATTTCCTTAAACGAAAGAATAACCTGTCAAAAATGCCTTAAGAGCTTGGTGCGTAGAAACGTTAAATCTAGGTATCGAAATTAGCGCAAGTAAGAGGTTTTCCCGCGTACATAAAATTGTTCAAATTTCTCAACTAATGACGAATTGACACAGATTTAAAGGTATAAAATTTTGTAACGCTAGTTTGACGAAACTATGGATGATCCTATTTTAGAAATTTTTAATTGCATTCAAAACCCCGCTAAACTGGCTAGCGCTTCCGATTGCCTGTCTAAGAAGAACAAATATTCTAGCTGCATCAGACAAATTTAATTGTCTGAGTCATCTATATTTTTCGCGTTTCGGGAATGTTGTTGATGATTTGAAATTTTAGATAAGTTTCATACTGAAGACTGAAAAACAACTTGTATATTACAATAGAAAACTTATTCAAGTTTTAAATCTCGTCGGGAAAACTAAATACAATATAGGGTTACGAAATGTATCATTCTGGCGAAAATTGTTTAGCGCTTGGTTGCCGTGTAACGAAAATAACCGAAATTTCTTTTTAGTTTCAAAGAACATGAAATGTCTCTGAAGTATGTTGCTTCCATGTTGTAAAATATTGAAAATATAATTGCTTCTTCTTGGAAATTTAATGCGTTCGATCAATACTCATATTCGTTACATTATCTGCATTTGATCAGGCTAGAATTGTTTGAAAATTTATCATAAGTAAAACACTTATGCAAGAATTATTGTCATTATTGTCGGTTTTTTTTTTTTTTTTTATATATATATAAATCCAGAATAAGTGTAAAGTTTATTTGATGTTAAATGCTGCATTTTTTTCAATGTTTTCTTAATTTATACTTTTCAGAATGAAATTTTAGTTTGCAGTCGGGAACTATGAGTAGCTTGCTCTATCATTAGCAATAACTGGATTGGGGTAAATTTGTAAGTGCAAAGTTTTCTACTAACAAGAATATTGATAGTAAAGTTTTACTTTAAAAGGTGAAAAATTTTGAAAATTTTTAAAGCAACTGCGAAACATTAATGTCCTGCACAATAATCCTAAAATATCGTTTATTGTTCTGCTTGCAAAACTATCTCGACTGAAAGACATTAAGCTATAAGTAAATATATTTAACTTTTAACTGAAATGGTTTAACTTTTAACTGGCATTATGTTCCAGTATGCAATTCATATTTGAATAAATGAATTTTAGTTACTAGTTAATAGAGTTATCTTTCATTCAAAATTAAATCATTGCATTTATTTCTCAAAGTAATCAATTCCGTGATACATGTTAATTTATGTTTTTAAAATATTCATCATAACAATATTATTGTTATGATTGTTACAACTTTTTGTCACAATATTATTGTGATAAATGGAGTTCCTTTTTGGAGGAAACGAGAACATGCTAGATCCTTTACATAGTCATCTGATATCTATAAAATAAAAAAAAAATAAAAATAAATTTGATTATGGTAGAGGCTACTTTGTTATAGAATAAAAAATTACATGTGACTTAAAAAAAAAAAAAAAAAAAAAAAAAAAAAAACTATTTTCCTTCGCTCAGAAAACTCAAGTATCGAAATCTTAGATACTCAACTGTGTATTTATAATCTAATGTTTTAGATCTATTTTAATATTTTCAGTATGTCTGTCTGTAGCAAGGGATCTTAAGCCTATGTATGGACACTTGCTTCCCTGATAATAGCCATGCATCGTCAGCCTTTACTAACATTGTCTCCATCTGCCCAAACCTGTTTTACGGAATCTCTAGTGCCTTCTGAAAATGTCTGGAAAAGCACACCCAAATTGTCAAGAAAAGAAAGTTTAGACTCTGTAGCTCGATTCTTGCTGAATGACTTCTCTGAATTTGAAACTAAGGAGCAGTTTGTAGGCAAAAGACATTTAGAGCCCTTGAAGGGAAATGAAATGTTCGAGAGAGAAACCACTATTTCAATTCATGTATCGCCAAGTAGCCCACCTATACAAGAACAGAGCAGATCAAATTTGGAGAGGTCTGCTAATAGAAATGAGGACTGGTAAGTTGAATCTTAATACTCATAATTAATTCTCTCGAAACTTACTTATAATTACTTCTCTCGAATATCTTAATTCTCTCTTAATGCTCATAATTAATAATCTTGCGTATTGACTCATAATCTTGTTTTGAAAGTATAGAAAAAGAGAAAAACAAAATGCTTCTGAGATTCTTTATTTTATTCCATTTCAGTGAAATCAGTGAATTCCCTGACAAGCAGTTGCGTGTGTTATCACAATTACCATTCCGGAATTCCCCCAAAACACAACATTGCGCAATTCCCCCTAAAACCTAGAAAACGATTTTCGAAACCGTTCCCAAAATTTTGGAGAATTTTGCAGAATTCCAAAACCTTGTGGCCGTATCAGTTATTCAGTTATAACACGCAACATCTTCATTTCCATATGCGTTCTTTTTGTTTTATTCCAGGTTCGAACTTTTTTTATTGACAGACTGATATTTTCTCTATCTTAAACTAATTTTAATTTTTTCACTTATGGGATTTAATTACCATAGAAAAATTTGTGGTAAACGTTTAGCAGAAATACCTAATTCTGTTGTAAAATTGCTGAAAAGAACAATTGCTTTTAACCTTACCTTAAGGTGATCTCCAAAAAATTTTCAACAATTCAAAACAACAGAACTTTTGTAGGTAACTCTATTGGTGGATTTTTCGGTATAGATAGTTAATGTAAAAAATTTGTAATTTTTGAAATTATAAATCAACCCCTTTTTATCTTTAAAATATCACCAAACTGAGTTCAGGTGATGGTGTTAATACCTAGGTACCTCTGACTATTAGAAGACTGAATTCCAAAATTGATTAGTGACCGAATGGAAAAAGAATTGAATCAAGTAATTCGTAGTTTCTTTTCAGGTGACTGTACAAGCTGCCTGTATAGGATTTCCTCTATGTGTAACTTGAACAGAGATTACTTTTTACAAATGTCCATCATGAAAACGTTTCTCTTAAGCCATATAGCTTTCGAGCCTTTGCGATATGGCCCACCAGCGGCCGAGCGGCAAAGTTGCTGAACACTGGAAATTCGACCCGGGGTTCGAATCTCCGAAAACGGACTGTCTACGCGGGCGTTTTCGTTTTTTTCCAATGTGTAACATGCGTGCCAGTCAGTTTCCCTTAAAATGTTCTCCACGATGGCATCCCTCCTCTTAGGCAAGATAGCCCTTGAGTGCTTTGCCATAACTAAATAATAACTAAATAAAAAACAAAAAATAAAACCTTCGAGATAATCCCCTATTTTTTAATTGCCTTGTTGATCATCAAACTGACAAATTATTTAATATTTATAGCTTTACTTATGAAGGTAGATGAAGTTGATCGTTAAAAGTGATGTTTCAGAAAAGAAACCATAATTAAACTGATGTTTTAATGTAGTTTTGGTACATCACGAAAACACCAAAATTACAATAAGCACAGTTCTCCAGTTTAGATTTCGAAAAAACCAGATGTTCGAAAAATGCCACGAAAAAACGTACTTCCTTGGTAATTATTACAAAACACCCCTGGTGCTCTACACCTGGACTTTTCTTCTAATAAACCTCCTTAATTTTTTGGACACACTTTAAGATGCACGTACATGTAATTGTTTAGAAATGTGAGTAAAAACTATCTTGGACGGCAATTATCTTGATTATCGCAGCCCGGTAAAATTTGAGCGTTAAAATTTCTGACCACTAGCAGTTCCGCCCTGGGTTCGATTTCAAATGAATGGGTTAGCCGCGCAAAGACGAAGAAGTTAACTTTGATTAGTTTTCAAGGGGGAAATAGTTATAGAAGAAAGAAATAATGATGAAGACGAAGAGAAACTATCAAAAACATTTACTACAAAATATTTATATGAAGCAATTTTTCGATAAAGGAGTTCAGTTACTCAAAATAGCAATAAAACATTGATCATGTCGCCAAAACTGAGGAGTGAATTTGGGAAGCAGTGATATGTTTTTATGAGGAAAAAGGATGGGAAAAAATTAGACACTTCTGATGAAACCAAGCAAACAATATTTTAGGATTAATGAAATTTCTACAGGTTTCAATTAATGATCCAAATGCGTAACAATTACTAGCCTACTATTTTTAATTAAAGACATCGTTTGTAAATTTGTGTTCCATGTTAATGACTTTAAAGTAAGAGTTCCTATTAATTATTTTTATTCAATAAAAGCTTGAATAATAAAAGTTATCAACGATATCAAGAATGAAAGAAGTCTTTAACCTACATTAGAATCGACTTACTGTGGAAGGTCTGAATCAGCACTTGTGAATTACTCTTTCATTTCCACCATCCATTGCTACAGTAACGTCATTTTAGGAAAAGGCATTATGGTAGCAGTAGTCGTAAATCGAGGCGTACCTGTATTGTAACACTCCTATATTCAACAGATATTACTCCTTCAGCTATCATACCTTGATGGCTGGATTGTTTCAAAACAAGAAGACTTTTTCTTTGCTTGACAGACAGCGTTGAAGCTTCTGATGACTAAAATAGATGACTAAATCTCAGTCTGAAAACAAACAAATGTCCTTTATTTCAGCAACTTTCATACCTTCAGCCGCCGAGTGGTATGAGAGTCGCCGAATGCTAGTTCTATCTTGATTAAACTCCAGGGGGAACGGGCTATCTGCATGGATGTTTTCGTGATTCTTCCCATGTGTAACGTGGATACTAATCAATTGCTTTTCGAACGTCCTCTACGAAGCATTTTTCTCTTAGTCAGAAAGCCCCTGCATACTTTGCCATTAAAAAAACCAAATTTATTTACTCGAAAAAGGGCGAAATAACAATTATATACCTGGTTAAGAACGCAGAAGGCCGATAGTTCGAGCCCAGGCAAATGGGATGTCTGCATGGTTAGTTTTCGTTTTTTTTTCCTTGTATGCAACTTGAATACGAGTTAGTTTTCTTCAAACAAATACTCCCAAGAAAGCATCCCTCTCCTTAACAGACAGCCGTCATATGCTTTGCATGGAATTTAATTGTAAGTGATCCAAAATTAATATTCATTACGCGATAATAAATTTGATCTACTTCTTACACAGTGTGGCATCATTCGAATTTTCTTTTAAGTATTGATCTTAATGGCGTTTATAACTAAGTTTCTCCATTCCTAGTGACGTTTATTTTACTATTATTTACTACGCTTTGTTTTGAATATTGATGCAATATACGTAACCAAGCGAACTAATTTTCTCTATTAAAATACTTAAAGAAGCAGGTAAATTGTTAGCACAATTTTTGTGTTGCGCATAACATTACTATACAGGTTATTTCTCTTTCTGAACTGCCCTTGGATTAGCTGTGATTTTGAATTAGCCTAAGATATCGTCTACAGTGTAACACCGGTCAATCGGGAGTTGACTGTTTTCATACTGTGTTGGAAGCAGTCTGCGATAAGGGAGTAAATGTTACTGCACTAAAAGTAATCCTGCTCCAATTTGTGAATATACATACACATTAAGAGCAATTAAAATGAAACTTAAAGGGGTATCTTCTCTTTTAAATTCGATCTTATAGTAAGGAAAAAGCATCCTATAGCCATTTATCTAAAGTGAAGGATCAGTCAATTTTCTTTAGGAATTTTCATGAAAGACTTCTTAAAAGGAAACTGACTCATATGTAAGGAATTTTCTCTTTCTTTACTAAGTGCATTTCGTTTATAATCAAAAGCATGACCAGCTGGCAATCGGAAGATGCGGAGTTCAAATCCAGGATAGGGGATAGATGAGTTTTCATATTTCCTACTCCGAAATAAACCTAATGAATCTACAAATGGCGTCCGAAGCAGAATGTAATGTATAAATCTTCATACCTGAATTTGGCAACTGACTTCCATCTCCCTCAGTTGCCCTTTATCATAGGGACATGTAGGGAATTTCCCCTTCCTTACCGTATGCGATCCTGGTATAATTAGGGCCTTACCAATGGACAAGCAGTTAAGACCGCTGGGACTTCGACCTGGATTCTATTCCAAGGTAATGAACTGATTGCATGCATTCCCTTAGGTAGGTTGGCATCTTGTGCTTTGCCACATTCAAATGTTCCCACCAGTGCCGAGCGGTAAAGTTGCTGAACACTGGTAATTACAACTTGAATTCCGATTCTATGTGAATGGGTTAGCTGCATGGACGTTTTCGGGGTTGTCCTCATGTATAATGTACATACGAGCCAGTTTTCCTTGTAAGGTTCTCCACGAAGGCATCCCTCCCCTTAGGCAGATTTTCTTAGTGTGTTTTGCCTCAATCGCAGTAAGCCAAACCAAAACACATTTAAATAACCTAACTTAATCGTGGTTTAAGTGGAAACACATCCGAATAACAATTAGGAGTTCGGATCTGGTCGAGGTCCTGCTGAATGTTTCCTGCTTCGAAATAAACTTAATGCCCTGCTTTAACGGTACACAAGATGAAATCATGAACTGCGAGGAACCAGCCTGATCGCCAGGATGTTGTTAACTTGAAACTACTCAGTCTTACTATTCTGCCACTGCTGAGCTTCAGTAATATCTGAAGAATCAGAAACTATTAGAAAATAGTACTCATTTTGAATTGCAATATTGCATTAAATCATGATATATTTACTTTCAAATATAAATATACAGAAGTCAGTTCTTGCTTTTACTAAATAGACGGTGAGTTGTACACACTATTCAGTAAAGGAATAATAATCAGTCAAATTGAAGAAAAATAATGACATATTTGTTTGTACTAATTTTTCAAAGCTTTTTTCCTCATTGTAAAGTTTATTATGTAGTTACTAATATTGGACATTGCATTCGAGAAGAATATCGAAGTCAGGAAGGTAAACATAAATGGCACTGGTCATAAAAAATAAGGCTTGTCTGTATTTGTGTTGTTAATAATATTTGTGTTGTTAATCATATTTGTGTTGTTAATCATAACTATATTAATATATAATACAGACATGATATATATTATAATATATATCATGTCTGTATTTGTGTTGTTAATCATATAATCATCATAGCACTAGAGTAAAAAGTATCTGTATTTGTGTTGCTGTAAATGATGCTATTTCAATTTTTTTAAATTTATTTATAGGTACCTTAGCGTTTCACAATTTCCGTTTTCTCCCAAACTTGCCAGTGGTCGTTCTCCAGTTCATTTGACACCAACTTACAAGCATCCAACACCAACAAAAAGTCCTTTATATACTCCCAATCGCAAAAGCATCTTTCTTGGACGAGGTTCGTTTGGGAATGTAACTCTATGCGAATATAAAGGTAAATTTTTATGTACTAAAAATTAATGAATCATCATGAATTTATAATTTTTCTAAATATCAACTAATTTATTTTAGTTCCGAAATACTAATTGTATGTGTATTAGCAAGACAGCCCAATTTAATAGAAACGCAAATGAATAAAATGTCATATTCCAGATTTACATGAATTAATTTCTTATTCAGATTTACCCGAATTAATTTATTCTAAAGCGCAATTTTTTCAAAGAAATGTTGGGAAGCTGAGCAAATATCTCTCATAATGTTTCTTACACAAAGTATAACAATAAAAATAGTCATAAATTTAAAGAGAACATGGCAAAAGTAACAGTTCTTCTAATGCAGTGTGAGGTGAATGTAATTCTATAACCGTGTTTACAGGCGATATTTTATCTACGATATTTAATCCCATTTTAATCGCAGCTCCTTTCAAACTTTTGTGTATGGATTGATTTTCCACAGCTTTTTGTTAATACGTACGCTTTTTGCAGCACGTTTTCATAACTGTCATTCTAAATAGATTTTCAATTTAAAAATTCCTTGCTGCGTCAGAACAAAAAATACAGCTTTATTATTTTGCAATGTTTTATAATCATTGTTCTCCTTTTGAAAATGAAATATAGCCCTCAAATACAATTTCCCTGCACTTGCGCTTAGATTTTCTCTCATCACAACTAAGTGTTATTTATATATATATATATATATATATTATTTTTAACTTTTGGCACTTTTAACTTATATTAGTTTTTTAATCGCAGTTAAATTTTCAAAATACTTTCTTTTCTAAAGATACCACTATCGCTCTTTGAGCATACTCGCATGTATTTTAGCAAATACCGATCTTTCGAATGTATTGGCTTTACTTCTGAAATATTTTGTTTGAATTACAGTAGACGAAGGTTAATGTACGAGTAATCAAGGTTAATGTTATCATTCCGATATTGCCATCGAGCTGCCGAAGTATCCCGCCCGTTTGTACACCAAACTATGGAAAATGCATCGCTTGCTGTGATCAGCGGTTAACAGAATAAACATAGCTTAAAATAATTTTTTTTAATTGAAGTAAAGTCGCAAAATAAACTCGGAATGGATTACAAAAATTGCCAAGGAAGGGATTAAAGCGCAAAGCAGCTTCGTTTCAATTTCAGTAGATCATTTAAAATTGGTAAAAAAACTTAATTTTCAATAACTACCGATTCTGTGGGCTATCAGCAGATTGGATGGCTTTGAAGCAAAAACATTTCAGCAGAATTCAACCCCACGAAGCAAAATTCTCCGAAAACATCTATGTCACATAAATTTTACATTAGCAAGTTGTCTTTCAGTGAAGGGTGCTCTCCGACTAATGTTATCATTCAGTTAACCCCTTAACCTACGATTTAGATTCGACGATGTTGGGCCGAAATTGTATACAACCTCGCGCAGCGTTCGGGACATTTGCACGACTTGTGTAACACGCTAATCCGGGCAATCGTAAACATGACGAATTATGTAATTTTCGAAGAAAGTATAGGCGAATAATTATTGATGATGCATCCGATGACGATCAACTACCAGAGTCCTGGCTTTGGAAAAAAAATAAGAAATAGTCCAAAAATCTGGGACTATACAATGACTCCTGGCATAAGAGAGGAAGCCTTGTGTCAATCATGAGGTAGTCGAGGAGAATTGATATATTTAATCTAATATTTTATGACATATTTTGGAGCAATATTGTAACCGAAACGAATCAGTATGCAGATCATGTACGAGAAAATCCACATAGAACACGAATGTAAAAAGTGTAAAGTTCCGTTACATGTACCAGAATGCTTTGAAATATATCATACCGTTACAGATTTACTAATTTTGTATTTTGGAGTTTTGTATAAATAAACATTTTGAAATACTTGCGTCTACCACAATTATTGCATCAGACTGTAATTGCGTCTCAAGCATTCCACGTAATATTCACTTCTGGCCCGATCGCCGTACGCGGGCTATGCCCGTGAAAGTTAGGTTTGGCCCGACCATTACGCGGGCTGTGCCTGTCATTGTAGATTTAGGGGTTAATACTATGGTTCTCAAGCGTTTTTGGAACAAGCCCCCCTTTTCTCAATGCTAAACGATCATTTTCCCCTCCTACTTTCCAAAATTTAAAAAAAAAATGCATATATATTTATTTCAATCTAAGTTATTTTTAATTTTTTCCATAAATTAATAATAAAAAACGCAGAAGATGTTAGCAAATACGAAACTTGAATAAAAGTAGTTCTATACTCATAAACTAAAACGAAATACTGAAGAGGTACATGAAAGTCTGACAGCATTCCTCCCCTGAAACTATGAATTCCGCCCCCACAGGGCAAATTCTCCCTGGTTAAAAGCTCTTTGGTTAATATTATCAAAATAGCCGTGGACAAACGTGATCACATAATGTGGCGTCTACTGTATGTTTCAGTTATTTTCAAAATTTTCATAAGGTTATGCAGACAGTGTCTATGGGGGTCGGTCTCTCAATATGTAAGAATCCTATATGGCAGTTTTCAGTATATAGGCCGTTTTTTCGTCTCATCCGTTGGTTACCAGCCTACATCTGTTTAACTTGTGAACCATTATGGATATCGTAGATATCGAAGTACAGTTGCGATTTTCTATAGAATATATATTTTTGTAGAATTTCTATATGCTCTTGCTATATGTTTTAGACGTGAATAGTTGTAACGAATTTGCAGCTCACATTATAACATTAGTTTCAAAATTACAGTTTCGCTTACACATTTAAGTTTGAAAATAGTATATCAGTATTGCTGTAAATAAAATAATAAAATTATAGATATAAATAATTTTGTTTTAATATTTTAATTTTTTCAAAATTGTGTTTTTTATTTTTAAACGCTGAAACATGAATATCATTGAAAATTATTACATTATTTTAAAAATTTTTTAACTAGAAGTACATCTCTACGACCAATGTTTGCGAAACTAAAAGCTGGTTATAAGCATTTGGGAACATGGTGTGCAGTCATTCTCACAATTGTCGTCATCTGGGGACACTATTAGTCTTTAGCATAATATAGAGAATGGCCTTAATCACAATGAGATATTCTTGAGAAGCGTAAATAACACGAAGCAAAAGTATGAAAAGAGCAATTAAAAATAAAAATAAAGCAGATATTCTGACTCCAAGAACCTCTTATTTTAATGAATATGTGTAAAAATTTAGTACTTCCTATCTTTTCAAACAGCCTTTATTATTATTTTTTACATTCTAGATTAAGTAACTTTATATTTTACACAGGAATTAAATTTGCCTTGAAGATTGTCCAAGCTAATTCTTCGGTAGGCGAAGCTAATTTGCTAGGAATCCGCCATCCTCATCTTGTAGAAATTCTTCATATCTCAAAAGCATTGAATAGGGTCTTTATCTGCATGGAGTTTGCTGGACATTGCAACCTGCAACAAATTTTAAATAGTAAAAGTGAGCTTGATTCTCCCAGAAGGCTTAGGTACGTATCAGGTTATTTTCCTTATTGAAAGCTCTACATATCAAACATAAAATATTAATTATGTAAAAAGTGTTAATTAATTAGAAATACTTTCTTTGCATGTTCAGAACATAATTTCTTTGCATGTTTAGAACATAATTTCTTTAAATGTTTTAATTTCTTTAACTGCAGTAAAGACGTGAACCTTAATATAATTCGTTCTGCGTTATATCGTCAGTGGCTCATTGGGCTGAGTGCATAAGTTTACTTTTTCTTATTTCTTGTTATGAAAGTATGAACTAATTTTTTTTTATTAAAGATTGCTCCATAACAATCATCCTCATTTCATACAAGGTCTACAGATGAACACTTCTACAGACCTTGACTTCCACAAGCTTTTAGCCCTAATGAACTTTACCCTGGTGACAGCCTCCAATACAGCTGCCTCGAGTTCCACTTCAAAACAATTTAATGGCCGGGAGTTTTATTTAATAGTCATTAGCCTTGCGCCACTATAAGAGCCGGAAGTAGTAGACATTTCATTATGGAATCACCTAAAAGGGCCTCCTATAAAGGGACTGACAACTACAACCATGCCATCTCGGGAATTCGAACCTTAGCGGTACGGCAGTCAGTTTCGCTAACCACTATACAGACTGGGCGGCATGGCCTTCCTACTTCAAATCAGTATTAGTTCAAGATGTGAAAGAGATCTCTGGGTTTCTTCTTCAATAAACAATATGCTACAAAAATTGAAAAAAAATCTTAAACGACAACATAGTAATTGTTTTTTGACAACATGGTAATTGGTTAAAATATTCAGTTTACCTCGATTTCGCTTCAGCAATTAATGCTATCTTTATTGCTTTAATTGATGCTTGTATGACTTCAAGTAATGGCCAAATTCCAATTGTGGTAGTAAATTAAAACCCTCTAACCGGCAAGGCCGTATATAAATATATTTGATATCTGTAAGAACGTATATATGCGGGCATCTTAAAATAGGTCCAGAAAATAACGCAATGTATAAATAGTACATAAATCCAGTTATAAAATACGAGGTGTATTTGGATACTGAAATTAATAAATTCTTTCTTGTGGTAGTTTTGGGAAATTAATGCTTTCTTAGTGAAACCCAGCCCGGTCAGGTAGTTAATATAACCCAGTATTGCCTATAAGAAAATATTTGTGTCTCGGTAACATTTGCGTGCAGTTTTACTGACAATCAGCCTAGTTTCCCGAGAGGATATTTCTATTTTTGATTTATGGAAGACTGACAACAAATTTTTAAGATTGTATTAACGAAATTTTTTAATTATCCTGGAGTTTTCTTTCGATTTAACACATGAAACTCATTTATCCTTTACCCTGATATATATAGCGTAGCTTCAAATCCTTTAAAGTATCTTTTAAATTTTTCATAACTAGAAAGTTCTTGAGTTGGTACTCGTCCGTTGCATGCACGAGCCATGCTTTTTGGCACCTGCGAAAGACAAGCCAAACACCTGTTGTTGTTTTTTTAACTGTAAATAATTTCTAATTATAAGAATAGTTTATAGATGGCAATATATGTTTCGTATTTATTAGTTACAGTTGTTGGGTCTCTGCATGTGTTTAACTTCTCTTTTACAGGCGCCAAAGGCATGGCAGGTGCATAACGGAAAAGTACCCTTGAAAAACGTTTTACCTTCAAGAGATTTGCATAATCTGTACATCAACTAATTGTTAAATTGATGTAGTTATCCTTATTTTAAGAAAAATCTTTGCATAAAAATTTATGGCTAGCAACAAAGTTTAGTTATTTCACTGTTTTACTTTAATGTCTCATTCTTCAGCGCATCTATAGTATACCAGAGCTGAACACACATGTTCCTCGCTATAAGAACTCTGTATATACAACTCTATATATCTCTTTATATCATCATGACTGTTAAAAAGGCCAAGTTTGAGGAAATCTCGCATTTTTATTTTAAAAAGCAATAAAATAAAATCCTTAGCTTTGTAAAACAAATCTGTTTTTATCTTGTCGTTAATTAGAAGAGGGTTTGCTAAAAATATTAAATAGAAAGACCTGTAAGCGAACATTTAAACCACTAAAAGTGACCTTTCAAAGTGCCAGAAATCTGTCGCTGCTTTTCTATTTTTTCAGGTATTTATTAAAGTAATAAAATTTTAGAATATAGATGTAATCAAATATATAAATTTTAGCCCATTCGGAAGCTTGTTGATTCTCAGCTTCGAAATCAATAATTTACAAAGTATTCAGAAAGCAAGAATGACAACAATATTCCATGAATGTTGAAGCACTGTTTGCACTCCAAAGCTTGGCGCCTAGTCGCCAAGCCAGGGAGTGTAAATTTAAGCAAAATTCATTAAAATGTAGGTTAAATCCAAAGGACAGCCATAGAACGCAATGAAAATAAATTAAGCATGTGTATATAAAATTGTTTGATCAAAATTTATCTACGAAATTATTACAAAGAGAACATGAAAAGTAAGCAAGAGCCTAAAGGGTATTCTAAAGAACTTTTCTTCAAAATATATTTTTGTTGATCCAGTTTCCTTTAGAAAGTTCTCCACGAAATAATGCCTCCCTTTAGGCATATAGCCAGCTTTACCTTAATCAAATAAAGCAAACCAAACCTAGAGTCATTCACTATGTGAGGTAAAATATACTAGGAAAATGTAATAGTCTGGCTAAAAGGAATAAAATGACTAAATCTGAGCAAGAAGAGGATAAATTTCAAATACTTTAGTATAATAATCTGTGATTCAGATTGCATGAGGACTGAGTGCACGGTCTGAAAGCAGCTCAGAGGCCTGCACTTTTTTACTTTTTTAAAAGAAAAAGTGTTTTTAGTAAAAAAAAAAGAAAAACTGACTAAATTTAAAATTTCTCTTGTTAAATATTATCAAAAAGTACGTAAATTATACTAAATATAATAGCCAAAAGAAAAAAATTTCAATTTGAATTTATTTTCTATCTGAAATCTATAGGCTGCAACCTGCAAGAAATTTCTGTAGGCTACATTTTTAAGTCCTTTAAAAGCATCACTCCGGTTATGCATAATTTCAAACATAGATATTGATATAAGGTAGATCTAATGAAAAGTACAAATAAACAGTATAAATTTATAAGGCGTACGTTAGTATGTCTCCATCTGTGTAGCAGTACGGACTGCTTGTGTGAGCAACTAGCCGAGCAATTAGTGACTGAAGAAAAATGTATACCAGATGTACCAACTCTATATAGAAACGACTGAACGTCAGAATACTGAAGCATGATCAGATTTCGAATGGCCAACTAAACTGAGCAATTACACAGACGTGGAACGTTCTTTTACCTTACCCTGGTTACATACCTAGCCTAAATATACAAGCATACAGTTTCAGAGACGAAGTCCTAACCTATTCATTTTCTTTTCCATTCAGCAGCAGATGCTCGCATAAGCTCAGTCGGTATACTTGGCTCTAAAACTATAAACTGGAAGCATATTTACAAAAAAAAAAAAAAAAAAAAATAAGTAATTGAAATATATTCACGGGCCTAATTATACGAAAACCTAATTATACGAGTATTTTTCAAATAATAATCCTCTTTCGGAATTAAAACAGAGTAAATAAACCCAAAAATTTTATAATTTTTCTTCGATCATCTCTCAGATTTTTGTTTATTAGATAGATACCCTTAAAACATTAGAAGTAAACTTCAGCCCGAAATTAGAAGTAATTAGCCCTAACATTAGAAATAAACTTCTAGTTTATTTTGATACTATCGTTTAACTACATCTCTGTGTTTTTCATATAGCACTTTTGAAAATCTTAAGTTTCTATATTTTATTAATATTTCTGTAAAATTATTTATTTCAAATATTGTTAATCTATTTTTAAAGTTTATGAAAAATGAAGCTAATATTGATTAAAATGTTTTAATGCTATGCTTAAAAATTGTGCTTCGAACATGTTCGGATACTTTAACTGCTTCGATATGTATTCATTTTAATTTTTTGAACACTCGAGTTAAAAGCAGTAAATTTATACAGCATTTAAGTATTTTCCTGTCGACTGTAAAAGTTAACGGAAACCCCGCAAAAGGTGTGCCGACTTATCAGGAAATTTGAAAGAGCCGATCGCTGTTTATTTAATTAGATAATCATGATTGCTCTTTATTAAATTAGATAAGCAATAGATATAAATTCAGAATATGGCATATAAAAATCTTTAATAAAATATTTAATAAGGTTTAAAATAGCAAACAAATGTCGCCATTAATGAACTCGGTGCCACAAAGTTTTACTTAAAAACGAATCTAGTGCTACCACATTGTTCCGCTGTCTCTTTTATTACGCCAGTTTTCTTTTCAATGTTTTGAGAATCACCCTGGTATAAACCAAACTTGAAACTTTGAAAATACTCCACTGTATATTGTTTTGTAGAAGGCTATAAAAGCTAACGTAGCATAATAAAGATCGGGATTACATAAAACCAAAGAGAAGATTTACGAATGCGTTGTCACTCATTTATAATATTGGTACTTAATTCCTTTGTTTGACAGCAGTGCCAAAACTGCCCGACGGAAAAATACGTAAGTATCTGTTATATTTTTATCAGCTTGCAAAATGAGTATCTAATTCCATTTTTTAGTTTCTGCTTACAAATTGTATCTGGTCTCCAATATTGCCATAAACATGCCATAGTTCATGGGGATATCAAGCCTGCCAACGTTATCGTGAGTCCGCATGGAATCTGCAAACTGGGAGATTTCGGTCACAGTATTCGCAATGCTGAAGAGATTAAGCTCTTGTCTCACGATGATGAGTTCATCGGTACTGCCGCCTATGCTGCGCCGGAAGTTCTGAAGGGAAACTCACCGACCCCGTTGTCTGACATTTATTCCTTCGGCATTCTTCTATGGCAAGTGCAAACTCGAGAAGTACCATTCGGTGGAGAGCATCCTCATGTCATCATTTACAAGGCAAGTTTAATGTGTGTTTACTTTAACTGCATAAGGTAAGAGGAAGCGGAAAAGAGTAGAAAGTTAAAAAATATCACTTAGTTAGATATTATAACGAGTTTAAAAAATGCAAAATCAATAGTTGCTTTACTTTTTATTGAGCAAATTGTAATGATGAAAAAGGAAAATGCCAATAATTTGATAATGCTGTACTTAAACAAACATGAAGCAATCGAATATCTTGTATGGCTGATTATTTGTTCCTTCTAATTTAATATTTATCGCCCATCTTGTCATTTCTAACGCCCCTGATACCTGATGCACTGGTGAGCTAGTGGTTAAGACCACTGAAAACTGGGAGTTCTACTTGGTTTTAATCCTGGACGGACGGTATGACTAAATGGTTGGTTTCTATTGCTTTTCTCCCATGTGTAACTTCATTATGAGACAATTTCCGTCAGAAAGTCCTCTACAAAGGCATCCCTCCCCTTTGCTCCACAGCTCTTGAATACGTTTCCATATTCCAATAACCTGACGGCAAAAATTTCATACTGAAAGTCTCAGTTAATAATCTATAAGCATTTTTCTTGCGGAAAAGAAACATGCTGCTCATAATAAACTTTCCAGTGATTATTAAATAAGTTCCCAAAAACTAACTACCGTGAGAGAAGCTTTTATGAATACTAACACTCATGTATTATTTGGCGGTTTTACTTTTTCAGCAACCTCTGAGTATTTAGTTTATTGGTGAATGTTTGAGGATTTCAATGAGGAAAATATTGTAATTACGATGAGTTGGTCTTTTCTTGTTTAAATTTATTTATCTCATTAACGAGAAACCAAAAATAAATATAAATCCTTTAACATTCTGGGGCCTTTCTTTCTTAACTCTAAATTTTTTTTTTTTTCCTCCTTCACAGTAATGTATCAAACCTGTAGCCATTTAGCAAGAGGTATCAACTCAGCATACTTTTTGTGCCCGATAAAATGCTTTGGATAAAACATTTGTACACTGTGTTCTATGTTAGAAAGTCCTCCACAAAGGCATACCTCCCCTTAGGCAGATAGTCCTCGAGAGCTTTGCCGTAATCAGTTAAACCAAACCAAATAAACTAAAACCATTCATTCTACACGAAGGTATGTCTTCCCTTAAGCATAATCCTTGTGTGCTTTGAATAAATTATCTGAACATATATTGTTATATATCATATACATATTAGTAGTCTGTTAAATAAACCACAAAGGTTTACAATTTCTATGAAATTACTAAGACGTCTTACGCCTTAAGCAAATAAACTTTCTTTAATAAAGAACCGATTGTTTCTCGAATTCGGTCGAGACATCGGTTGGAAATTACTATTAAATTATACTTGTCGCTTGCTCGGCCAGCCGTCAAAAGTAGTTATAAAAAAATATTTTAATGAGTCCGTCTAGCAAATAACAGATGAAGAAATGTGTATATTGTTTTTAAGCTTAGTTTGTGAAATAATAAAAAGATTAAATTTGAAAGAAAAGACAAACATATTTTGCTTGCCAAATGGTGACACTAGTGCAGGAAAAATAAAAATATTTTATTTCAGACAATGGCAATACATTTCTTTCGAACCACTGAATTTTTTAATTTTAAAAAAACGAATGTTATGCGTTTTTTTTTTTTTTTTCAAATAACGATGTATTTCTAATTGTTGTTTTTGGATTAAATTTGAAAGACAAATCTTACACTTTGCTGAGTAACAACACACTACTGTTCAATCGCTGAGTAAACAAAATTTTATAAAGTTTGCACAAAGCATAAATTTCAAAAATTTAAAATTCGTGCTTAAATATGCACATGCTCGGGTGAAGGAATGCATGCGTTCAAACGTTATGTCTCCAGGTTCCTGTATTGGCAAAAATTTAAATTAAATGTCAGTTTTAACAAGTTGCTTGGTTTTTTTTTTTTTTTTTTTTTTCCAGCTTTGCCTAATGTTTTTTTCTTTTGCTTCAGGTGGTCCATTATACTGCAAGACCAATATTCAAAGAATCTCGAAATCCTTGCATTCGTCAATATGTCTCATTAGCTCAAAGGTGTTGGGATGACAGCCCAAGTAATCGGCCTAACTCTTCAGAAGTTTACAAAATTTTGAAAGAAATTATTCATATAATGAAGGATCTAAACAAATAATTACCAAAAGCATTCAGTTTCATTGACTTTTGAAAACTGTTTTTATTTTATGACATTTTTGTGACTGATATCGTAATTAAAAATTTTACTTTCTTATAGTTTTACAATTAATATTTATTCCATTGTACAAATATATGGAATTAAACCTTAATCAAATTAGGTTTCGTGAACAGTCTGTTAATAAATTATGATATTAACTTCACAACTTTTATTAATTTTTTGCATCATAAAGTAGATGTCTGCTTTACGTAGTAGCCCACCAGTAGATGTCTCTCGAATTTCTACATTTGTACGTGTTGTAAATATGGCGATGCAAAACGAAAAGCAATAGTTCGTTTATGTAAATCTAATTGTATTTCCTTCGCTTTACATTTCATATAATATTAATATTATATCAAGTTATCCACCACTCTGTCAAAGTTAGCCCACCAGTTGAGCGGTAAAATCGTTGAAAACTGATAGTTCGATCTGGGGTTTGAATCCCGGCGAAGGGGCTGGCTGCATAGGTGTTTTCCCTCTTGTATAACGTGCATATAAGCAATTTTCTCTTAGAACGTATTCCGCGAAGACATCCATTTCCTAAGACAAATAGCCCTCGAGTGTTATCATAATTAAATAAACCAAAACTTATCAAAGTTAACTGTCGTTGAATATTATAGGTGAAGATGGCAAAAAGATAAATGGTAAGAATTTCAAAAGTATTTAATTTTATTGGTATTTAAATTACCTTTTCGGCAAACTTATGTTTTTTTAATCTACTTCTTTCAAAAACTTTTGTTATCAGTATTAAAACAAGACCGTTCAGTTTTTTCGACAGTTATATTTCAATAAACTTTTTATTCTTATCGAATTCTTTTAAAACTTTAGTTGTATCTTTCAGAGAAACTGTGATTAATTTTCTAGACATTTTAACTAGAAATTAACATTAAAGTTAACTAGAGGACATGTAGCTGGGCTAAAATGTGCTTACCGAATGATAGGGAAATAAAGCCTTTCGCAAACGCTTTTGATCAACAGAATTCAACATTTATTCTGCCCCATTTAGTGATCCGATATTAATATCGGGTGCAAATATTGTACATCGTAAAATTTTGTCAATTTTTTAGACTCGTAAATTGCATTAGAAAGCATATTTTTTAAACTTATCTATAATAATATCAGATAAACCTAGCTGTTTGAAACATTGTAAGAGTTTTAATATAAAATTTTGTTTCATTTATTTTTATTGAATGATGAGATATGATCAAAACTCTTAACTTAGTTTATATCGTCGAATACTTGGTTTGAAATTACACACTACGATACAGGTATATCGTGCATAAGATTTTCGCTTTTCTGAAATAGAGCGAAGAATCAATCTAAATATAGTCAAGTTTCAATAAGCCAAAACTGAAAGAAAATAACTCTCGAAAAAGCAAAATATTAAAAAATTGACCCTGAATCAGTATCATTTTCGAACAGTATGTTTTTGATCTTTACTTTGGCTTACCTTCGTCATTTACAACCATTTCATTTTACAACAAGCCCACCAGCGGCCGAGCGGTAAAGTCGCTGAACACTGGTAGTTCGGTCCGAGGTTCGAATCCCGCGAACGGGCTGGCTGCATGGGCGTTTTCGTGGTTTTCCCCATGTGTAACGTGTATACGAGCCAGTTTCCCTTAGAAAGTCCTCCACGAAGGCATCCCTCCCCTTAGGCAGATAGCCCTCGAGGCTTTGCCATAATCACACACACACACACACACATTTTACAACCACTCCGCCAAAGATTTTAACTAACTGCAATTCATGTAATCCAAGCTTTAATGTATATTCACAGCTTGGCAATTAAGTAATCAAATTGTATTAAAAAACATAAAAGTTGCAGAGTTCGCCCTGACGCAACTTCCTGTCTTAAATAAAACTGGTTATTAAAGAGAAGGCTTATAGATGTCTGTTTTTGGCATGGTTGTAGGAGTTTTAGAATAACGAATTGATTTTTCTCTCTTCCACGTCAGAAAAAATCTGATGCAGACACAAGACTTCCTGGTATGGCCAATTAAATTACATACAATTTTACTGTATTTCACGTAAACTTATTTCCTCGAATTTCGTTACAGATATATTTTTCATTTAATTAATTCAGTTCTCACTTCGCGGCAAGACAAAAACATATAAAAATTCAAAACATCTTCATTAAAAATTGTAAAATGCAGAAAAACATAAAACACCAAATGCAGTTAAAATTAGTTTTTAATTAGTTACGTAAAAACAGGCTATTCGGCCAGAGAGCAGGAAGACATATTTTCCGGTGCACACATTTGAAAGTTTACTTTTGGTCTCACTCGGTAAAAAAAAAAGTTAAGTTGGTGCGCAAACTGAATTAATTCACTGTTCTACGAAGAGTTTTAAATGTAAATTTACCAGCATATAAGAATAAAAAAATTTGAGCTCCCCCAGCCTGGAAACAGAGTGAATATACATATGTAATAATACATCTGATGCTGCCGATAAAAACCAAACAAAAGAAAATGCACAAGTACGTGTTACAGCAAGCCCCCATATACAAAATTTCAGTGTTCCGAGGTTATTCGTTCTTGAGTTATGCGGGATGTATAGGTACGTACCTACAGACGTAACGAAAAAAATTTCTTCTGAATCCATTTTAAATTTTACAATCCGTTTTGGAAAAAAGTCCTTTATTCTGTCCGTACGTTCAGATAACACGCAAAAATATTTTTCTGATCTCGAGAACGCTCGAAATTAATATTTTCGTTGAAATATGATACCCGAAATTTTCCGCGATAATTTGAGAAACCATTTCAGTTTTTGAGCAGCTAAAAAAATGGCAGGGAGACAAATGTGTATCATACGTGGGATGAGTAATTACTCGTACTTATTCTCAAGGCAGAGTGGCTCTGCGAAGTGGTTATTGACCGGTAAGAAGGTGCATTTTTTAACAATAAAATGGTTTTCTACTGAATAACGTAAGTTTAAAAATCATCTGCTTAATTTTTCAGCTATTCAAGTCCGCTGTTCAGCTAAATGTTTAAAATTGCATCTCTGTTTTGACACCGCAGCTTCTAAGAAATTCTAATATCAGTTATTCTAAACAACTGTTTAATCTTCCTAGAATAAGTAACGTAGATAGGTAATCGTCCCACCGTTAGCTTAATTTTTAAGAACAGCTGTTGTTCCGAATTTTACAAAACTTCGTAGTTTGGCATCATTTGAGACTTAGAGTCGAAAAAGAATAAAAGTCCGATTTTGTATCATAATGCTTACGCTAGAACAACACTATATATATCCTAAGTTACGCTTTAAAAAAATAAAAAATGGTAGTTAAATTTCATTAATCGACCAAGTAGGAGATTTATACCTGTCTCTTTTGTAGACCAAAGGCGCAATTTGACCAGAGGTGCTCTTAATTTCGCTTTAGCATTTTGCGTCGGTTCACTTTGCAAATTGTTGCCACCCAATATTAGATCCCTGCATTATATTTAAAGAAATTAAATGAAGAATCTTCATGAATGTATATATGTTTCTAAAAAACAACGGTACCTAGAATTCAAAACAAATTTTGAATAACGTAGTCCTTCACTCGAATATGGGCATCTGGAATCCCAAATTTGGAATTTTGAATTTTTTATTATCTATTCCAGATTTTGTAAAACTTAACGAATTTTTGATTACCAAACTCGAGAATTTTAAAGCGAGCAATGGCAACATTGTATGGTTAAAAAAATTATTTCAAGCGCGCGAGACTGTTTATCGGAAATTCTAATGATATGCTGTTTTTAAATATTTTTAGCCCAAAGGGAGATTATCCCAGGTGCTCTCGAAACGTGTATGTGTGTGTAAATAAAAGAAAAAAAGGCCCCTTAGGGCATCATATAAAATCTGAAAGCTTTCAGGTTTTTTCTAGTGGGTTTTCATATATGTATAATATAATCCCCTCCCAGTTACCCAATGGCGTATAGTACAGGACAGCGGTTCTCAACCTTTTGACTAACGCGAACCATCTAAACAAAAATTGAAAACCTTTAGTACCAGCACTACAAAGTACAGTGTGCGGCAGGGGAACTTCCTTATTTGAAAAGAGCGCCATCTAATGACATTTATTCCGGGAAGAGTGAGGTGGCGCTCATTGAAATGAGCGGTGTCTAACGTTTTATGTCATGTAGGTTTAGTACCGATCATGCAGTGGACGAGAGAGAAGCGCTCTTTCGACGCAGAGTCGTACTTTTCAACGTACTGCATTTTCATCCATATAAATTGTCAGTGGTGCAAAAACTTAATCCATGCGATTTTCTTTCACGAAAAAATGCATGCGATACCATTCTTGACAATATGCCTCATGATGCCCTTTAGCGATCAGGCTTATTTTCATCTTTCCGGTTGCGTAAATAAGCGCAAAACATGCGCTACTGGAGTGGCACGAATCCCAGAGAACTTAATGAGAAGCCCCTCCTTACAGAGCGTGTGACTGTTTGGTTTGCATTGTCTAGAATAAGCATCATTGGACCGTGGTTTTTTTTAAGAACATTTGCTTGGGTGCGTTATCTCCTTACGAAGCGATCTTCAGTGGCCAAAGCGCTCGCCTGATTAAGCCCCGTGTGATTTCTTTTTGTGAAAACGTCCAAAGACCCTGGCTCAGCTGAAGAACAATATACGACAACATACCCATTGATATGCTGGTAAAAGTGGAAAGAAGCTTCAAAACTCGACTATCTCAATGCATTGACCAGAACGGAGGCCGCCTTAATGATATTATTTTTAAACCATAATAAAAAAAACTTTAAATGTCTCTCTGTAACTTCGAAAAAAACTAAACTGATATTGCTTATACTATTTATGTTATTCAGTTCTAAAATAAGGTAGTTTCCCTGCCGCACCCTGTACTACTACCACCAGTACTCTTAAACAAAGCTCAGATCGCGTAAATTTACGAGTGTTATAGAAAAAACTCGATCAGGATGTTGGGGTTTTAATTTTTGAATTGTATAGTTAAAAATATCTTGCTTCTTTGCGTACCACCTATTTTTCTCTTGATCAACCCCTGATATAGGCAGTCTCTAAAGAAAAGTTTGTTTTCTGCAGAACGATGAAAAAATTGTTATCACA